TATCTAGAATGATGGAAAAAGTAGTTACGGTGGTGGTAGTCCAACATCCACTTACTAATAATCTCATCTTCGACCACCCAGCATGGATTTTTAGGTTCAAATCATGCGATACATGCCTAGTAGACTACCTCAATCATATTACTTTGAAACGAGACAACGGACTCCGTTTATCAGTCCTATTCTTTGACCTTAAGACAGCCTTTGATGAGATCCCACATAAAAGGCTTCTCGTCAAACTAAAGTCCTTCAGAATAAACAACCCACTGTACTCATTGTTTGCTTCATTTTTAACAGAACGTAAACAGTTGGTGAAGTACAATGACTCTCTCCGATCACATAGGCCTATATCTAGTGGAGTCATCCAGGGAAGCGTATTAATAATAATAATAATATTAATAATATATTCTCAAATAACAGTTTGTTACATGAGGCATGCCAGTTTACAGGCAAGATCAAATTGTTACAAATGATACAATGTCCACTGTAGTAAATTACTTAGCTGGGTTGATAATTTATAAGATATGAATGTAGATGGTTTTAATCAGTATCACAGTTGGCGCGCTTCATGAAAGTTGCGTTGCGGATGTGCAACTGGTGGTTGAGAATAGGTCCTTTGAAGGTGAGAGCTTCTAAATGTCGCAACCTTATGTCCCTTTGGAATATCTAAGGCTTTGAGGATGGTGCGGGATGAAATCACCCGTTCCATATCACAAGGGGGATGAAAGAGGGAGCAAGTAAAAGAAAGGACGAGAGGCAGAGTAGCCAATATTCATGAAGGAATGTTAAGGTATGATTACTCAGTCTGAACTTCTTTAATTAAGGTATTTGTTAAGAAAGAGCATTTTAATAGGTTAAAGAAAATAAGTGTAAACAAGATATGAGTGGACATACAGCTGACAAATGGAGGCGATTCAGAAAGGAGCTGAGAGTATGGGATTATGTGTGGTTATAAAACAGAATATAGTGCTACAAACAGTATTGTGATATACAAATGTCTGTCTTCCTTTATTTATCGAAGCTATTGGAGCCCTATTCATTTTTTTTGTATTATTATTTTTTTCAGGTATCATAGGGTTTTCGTATATTAGCGAACTGTCTAGTTTGCTTGTAATAGGATTTCTGGGTAGGAAGTGAAACCAATTAAACGTTCGTAACACGACTTATTGAGGCATTTTGCATGATAAATCTGCACTAATACCTTAGGTTCTTGATATCCCACTAAACCATAAGTAGCCGTAATTAAACAAAATGTTCTGCCCTACAGACATGGGTGGGTTGAAGTTATCTCCCCACCATCATGTTTGCTGGTCAGTAAAGCCACCTTCCCTCCTTTTGTGATGTTATGCTCTCTTACGTTTGTGGTAAGTATGAATACTGTTTTAATCAAAGCCCATAGTTGGAATACGCTGTCTCTACTACTTCCACGTCACAAGCAAATCAGATAGTTAACAAGTTTGTTCCATAGGTTAGATGTCCACATAGTATATCACACTGCTACGAAGATAACTAATGGTTTAAAGAAGTAAGGACTAATAGCAAATAAACAGATATGAGAGGGTATAAAATTGTAGAAAAAATTTCAGGGTAAGAAAAATAAAACATTGAGAAACTCACAAGACTTTGTGGCCAAATTTTGAGCTTTGTATGATCGGCCTGAGTAGATCAGCATCCATAAGATTGGTGAGTTATCTGCCTACTTGAAATAGAAAAAAAACAGCATGACTTTTAGGAAGAATAATGTACATTTAACCTGTAGAGAATTTGGGAACTGAAAGTTAGGGTTAGGAGCATAAGGCCATGATTATTAAACAATGAATAATAGGAAAGGATAAGCCATATATTCTGTGATTTGGTTATATTCAAATTAATAACAATCGGGCTTGTTATATTATTGTTCTTTCTAGATACTAGGCGGTCGGTAATGAAGTGCCTCATTGGTGGGCGGGAGTTCAAGGAAATGTTGAAGCTCTTTAGACTCTAGAAACAGGGTTATTTACCTGTTTTTTCTATTTCAAGTGTACAGATAACTCACCAATCTTATGGATGCTGATCTACTCAGGCCGATCATACAAAGCTCAAAATTTGGCCACAAAGTCTTGTGAGTTTCTCAATGTTTTATTTTTCTTACCCTGAAATTTTTTCTACAATTTTATACCCTCTCATATCTGTTTATTTGCTATTAGTCCTTACTTCTTTAAACCATTAGTTATCTTCGTAGCAGTGTGATATACTATGTGGACATCTAACCTATGGAACAAACTTATTAACTATCTGATTTGCTTGTGACGTGGGAGTAGTAGAGACAGCGTATTCCAACTATGGGCTTCGATTAACAGTGTTCATTCTCTCTTAGTATATAATTTTATCATGGGTTACTGTCACCATATGGATGACATAGTATATTTGCGAGATAACTTGAACATTCTTATTTGTTGAACACTCACCTTGTAGAAATTTCTGATCAATGCGCAGCAACAAAATTTCTTGCATAGCATTGCTTCAAAGGTATTTCAAAGTACAAGACGATTCAGCGATGTAATCGTACCTAATATAGCGGATACATGTGCTCTAAAATACCAAGTCTTAGTTGTTTAAGGCTAGCAACAGTTTCCATGTGTGCCTATAAGGTTAAAAAGTAGTCACCCTGGCATGCATTCATTGATAATGTCCAAATTCAGTACATCTGTAGACACCAGTGCGTCTCTGACTTCCTCCAATTTGACCAGACAAAAACAGATTCACAGTATTGTTAGGATTCTTTCGCATAGAACATCGTGTTTGCAAAAAGCAGGAAGAGCTAGGTACAGACTACAGACATCACGGTTGCAAACGCGTTGTGTTCTGAAGATGATAAAATGAGGTCCGATTCTGAGAGAACCTGTAATGGCATTGGACCATAATCAAACAATCCTCAAAGCTGAACACGAGACTACTCAGAAAATAGATATCCAATATTTAACGCAGAGAAATGCCTAATGATGGAAAAGGTATGTGCATAGCATCGTATTTGTCAGCAGTTAACAGAGTGTCATGCTATGAATGTAACACAACGGAAGAAAGTGTTTCCAATCATTTAATGATAAATGTACATGTAGTGAAAAGTTGACAGAATAAATACAAATAACATCAAAAACTATTTACAAAATAAGCTTATCAGGCATATCTCCACAAGTGTACTGAAGCTATAGATGACTCCACTTGGGTTACCGTAAATTGTAGATTGCGAAATTATCTACTGGTGTAATGTATATAAAATCACTTCATGTAGATACTAACTTTGATAAATTGTTAGCAAACATATTTTTCATTGTTTTGCACCAACCTTATAGGTTTGAAATCGGCAGAGGTGATTTTAATCTACTGAACATTACATGGGATTTGCATTTGTTACCAGGGTGAATGACATTTGGATCTTATTGCAATATCGCGGTCGCAACTGAGTACTAGATTAAAAAGGACTACGGATTCAAGATACAAAGAAGTTCATTACAGACATTCAGAAAGAGAAACTAAATTAAAATAGAGGAAGAAGACAGTTAAACTACTAAAGATTCTCGATGCATAAAAGCAAACTATAAATTCACGATCATTAAAACGTCAAATATGAGTTAAGTAATATGCAACAGAGCTCCTGTGTGTTTGTTTACTTCGTGAGAATTAACTTTGAAGACATTATCTTTTTAACCCATTCTCTACATGACAAGTAGAGAACTATTAAGTTTGAGAATCTGATAAATTAATCAGTACCCTCTTGTATTAAGAAAAAGTCGCATAATCTGAAGTGAAAGCTAGGACAAACTACATTATTATTACTTCCCCACTAATTAGACACTTTGGATACACATGATTTAATTATTGGTTCTTGGAGTGTGTGGTGGTTTCCAGCCAAAGGAGCTTGTACAAGATATATTGATACACTAGGTTAATAGTAACATACCAAGAGAGTTAACTGTAAAAACCCTAGGTGTCTCTCTGCGAGTATAACCAGGGGTAACGAAATATAGTTAGGATACAAATGGTATATTAAACAAACAGATAATAACAGTTATTATGGAATAAACGTTACTTGTAAGCTGCCTCGTGAGATAACAACCACAAGTTCATTTGATTGACGGAGATTCCTCTGCAAGTGATTGTACCAACGGCGTAATGAGAAGGACAGAGTTCAATAGTATTATGTAATAACAATCCGTGACAAAAGTCCAATGTAGTATCGGAAGGCCTAGAAGGATGTTATAACACTATTATAGTCTTCAATCAAAACCGTGGCCAATAAAGCAGAAGAACAAATGGCGTAGATAGCGTTTTATATTTTTAACCATCGCGGTAGTAAATTTGTATATTATTATTATTATCAGCTTTATTCAATATTATATTTTTGGTACAATATAGAATTCTCAGCGTAAAGTATCTCAACAAGTTTCCGTTTCTTTCTTCTTGGCCGGTCCTGACGATAAATATTGAGTGATCGCCAGTTAGATATTAGCAGTTCAGTAAATGAACATCTGAATAATGTGCATTCTTTTCTCTGTATGTTGCCAGCAACCACACTGTCTCTTATTGAGTTTTTTGTAACTTTGACAACGAAAGGTTGTACACTTTTCAGAAACGCAGCGGAAATAGGCCATGCGATTAATAAACATAATGATATATTAAAACAAACAAGAATAGATAACTTGTTGAAATATCTAGATTGCAGGAACAGGTAGCCCAGATGCTCAGGCAGGCCGCTCTTTGTTCCTCATCTAAACAACTATCATCGTTTTTTAACACGTGTACATAAAAACAACAGATATTGAATAAAAAAGCGGTTACATGTAAAGTGTGACAAATTAGAGAGAAAATGCGGTTTTGTCTTTACAAAAATCACTGAATATACGTCACCATAAGTGCGAGTAACGAAGTGACGGAAGCATTAGAAGTAACCAGAGGAAGGAATGAAAACAAACTTCAATATTGTGTACAACTCGACATCGTACATCAGTTTGTTTTTCTTCTCCAAATAATTAGGTCATTGTACATTATGGTAACCAATGTATACAGCAAGAATTTCGCATTAAATGGAGATGGTGAGGGAGCTTTCCAAGTAACACATTTCCAGTCTTATGAACACCATAAGAGGTCATTTTTTACTTTTTGGTGCTTATTTGGTATTAGGTGAACTGAAGTTTACTGACTTTTGTTATCATCCAAGGCTATAGTCTCACTATATAGTGAAATTGGTAACTTGACCCTATAATATTTTAGTGTCCTCGACACCGGTTCGTGATGAAAACCCTGACTGTGATTTTAAGCGTGAAGGGTAAACGTCCATGTAGGTACCGTTCTGTTATCTTATTTTGAATTGGTCTGCAGACCCATAAGATTTCAATCTCACTATCTTGTGGAAAATTTGGGGTTTTCTCCAAATACGGCAGTTTCTTCAAAACTATGAAGAAAAAACCCAAAGTTTTATAAGGTTCTGTGGAAATGTTGTGGAAAACTCAGAATTTCCCCAAACATTTTGGGGATTTTCCCCAGACGTAGGAAAATTTTGCGATTTTGTGCTACTTCACAAACTTCCCTTAAACCGGACCAAATTTTTAATAAAATAGGGAGAATGGAGAAGGACAACATATATGTGTTATTTATAATCTCTTCTGATATTAGATTGAAAGGGTGGAACTAGAGTTAAGGAACAACATTAAGTGACTTTAAACAAGTTGTGAATTCTCGACCACCTGCCTGGATCAAATAAAGGTTAAGAATTAGTTGTAGGGATTAAGATTAAGAGTTAGCGTTAAGAGTCCAAATAACAAACAAAATAGGGGAAATAAAGACGAACTTTGGAGAAATACTGTGGATACTTCACAAGTAGGGTTGATGTGAACTTAGGCAAAAACGCATCCAGTTGTTGAGTTTTTCTTAACCCCTGTGGGAAATGTCTCAAAATCAATATCCTAACTTTCCCTTAAATGAACAACAAAGAGTCTTTTTTACCCATAATTCGACGCAAAATTTTCTATCAATCTGATAAGTTTACACTAATTGGTTTACCTATCTCACGAATTGTCTACAGTCTAAATGTCAAGCAATTTAGCTTACGCTCGGTTCGCATATTTTTATCCGAAGCTAACTCTGAATAGTCTACTAAGGTTTTCCATTGATTCCCCAGGTCAAACAAATTTTCAGTGCAGTCAACATTATTTAAACAGTGATTTGTATAGAAAAAAATCATTTAAATGAATTACACTTAAAGTTTTCAAAAATATTTACATCCAGGTATCAGTCTAATATCAACATTGTAGCCAACAGAAATGATTATTTTTAGCCGCAATATAAAAAGAGAATAGATTTAGTTTATGCGATGGTTTTTAACTATTTATATATTTATTAGGAACTTGTCTCATTTCAAACGAAAGACTAATTCATACAATATTTTATCTGCTACATCTAATTTATTTCAACTCCCTATATCTAATTGAGAATGTGGATATATGTTCAAAAAGTGTTTGTCTAACGAAAACGGATAACAATATGGAAAACGGGAACAATAAAAGCGCACAAGTTAACCGTCCCCCAGTGATTAATAAGGAGCACTATTCTCGCCACTTAAATTCTGAAATAGAACTGCAATCAACAATTTTAGAGAGATTTTTACAAAACTTTTCAAGAAATTAGGTTTAGGGTTGTTGATGGAAGTGAAAAGTATGGGTGACATAGAAAACAATTTTTGTATATGAGATGAATTACGATGAGAAGTTAATACAACTTTGATTGGTACATAAGGTCAACGCAAATAATGGATATCTATATACGAATGATTAGAGTATTAGTTACGAACTGATATCAGCTTCATTGCAGGAATGAATGTTAGACCGAAATCTGGTTGATTCGCTTGTATATCTTACTTGTACCAAGTTTCCATTACTGAGTGATGTAGGCTATAACGCAAGAACCCTGCTTAGCCATATAGATGAATGAATTTCGTTCACGGATTCAAGAGACTATATCTGAAATCTGATTGGTTCATCTCCATACTTTAGTTTCCCTAGCACATACACTGCATAGTATTATTGATCGTTCTTGCATTGTGAGCTTACCCTCTGTATTATGTTTCTTGCCACAAACTTGTTGGAAGACTAAGAGAAGTTATATGAAATTAGACGTCATTTATCAGTGTCTTGTATATCATGACTGTATTGTTTTTAAATTTGTAGTGATAAAGTGTAGAGATATGAATTTTATAATTATTTATCATGGGATATTCTAAGCATATCAGATAAACACATATTTAGGACTATTCTTAAGTCTTTCTGGGAGGAAAAAACATCTGTCAGATAGGGTGTTGCAACCAGCGTATTATCTTCATTATTGGATCTCATCAATGCTATAATAGTGAGAATGTTTCGTAGCATTTTTATCTTTGTAAGAGTTATTCGTTACTCTCGTACTGTTCTAGGGCTGTGGAATTAGCACTTGTATAGATTGCGGCTGAAAATATTAAAATTTTTACATCTATCTAAAAAGAACTCTAGCAGTTAGGGATGGACTAAAGTGAGAATTCAAGAAAAAACCGTTAGGACATCAGTGGAATGTGCTGGTTATGCACAATGTAGCTAATATTTACGAAATGTTTATCTGATACTAAAGGCACCACAAACATTTATCAGCAACCAAAATTTGGTAGATGGACGTGTCCAAAGCTTAATTTGATTTAACCTCAAATTTATGATTAATTGCAGAGGTGCTTTCATTATTTCACCGGTAATGCCACCTGGGTGTTCGATGTACATGAAGTTCGTGCCACACTTATAAGTATTACTTATATCTCAGCTCAGCTGAGCAGTGTTGATATAGGATTGAATAGCTTGCAAATCTTAGTTATTCCATGCTCCTGCTATAAAGTGGCACGGCAGATTCCATGTATTAATACTTTACGTTCAGACAACAAAAAACAGACCTTGCAATCTGAGCCTTCAAGCTCCGCCTGGGGTCTCAGAGCAGATTCCTAAATCTTTAAAAAGGTCGGCCTGTCATTTCGGCAGACCAATAAGGAGGGGAATCCAAAAATGACGACCGTATGGTCACTTTTGGGACGTGTCGAGGATAGCATGTTTGACTGATGCTGTGGAATGGACCAAGAACTGATTCGAAGTGTTAAAATACGCTCCGATGTTTTACAAATTATGTTCTGAGTAAGGACTAAGAAAATGGTTGGCTTGAGAAAATTAGTTCGTCGATGACCACACTTGGAGATACTTTTCATCAGTACAAGGTACCATAAATTCACTTAATATGTGGATTGTGTACCTGTCAAACGAAGCCAGACGTTCATTAAAGTGTGATTCGCACGGCCTACACTCAAGGCTTTGTTAGACTAAAACTAATACAATGTCATGACTTGAGTCTCTACTGACTTTATGTCTAATCGTTTTTATTGGTTTGAAAGATTCAAGTGGATACGCTAACCGATATATTTCAAAGAACACTTGCTATAATTTGCAATTCACAACAATGAATTAATTTGAAAGTTTGGCACCTTAGTGTATTACTTCTGAAGAATAATACTGAAAATAAGTTTGTATTCAGTACATCATACTAAAGTTTACATTTTTCCAACACATGTTTTCAGTTTCAAACACTGCTTTCAACAAAATTTAGATAGATGAATTGTATTGACGGTTTCTGTGACCTATACATCAAGTCACCAGCATTTGGGTAATGTAGTGGCTGCAATCGGGAAAGAACATTAGACGATTTAACTGAAGAAGAAAGTACATTTCATCAATCAAAAATACAACTAAGCTGAGTGAATAAATGGAACGTATTATATTAAATTGAAATATCAGATGGGTGTCTGTATAGCTTCATTGTCCTCATCTTATCATACAAATAAATTTAGCACACCGTTTAACATGTGCTACAGTAAGTTTTTATGCATTTTCTGGGAAATAGAGTCACGGAAAATATGAAGGGTGTTTATGAAATTCATTGTCCTAAAAGACAACACCATAAGGATAAAATTAGATCGTCTTTCAATACGTTTCGTAAAATTGCAGATAAATGATGATAAAGAACATGGGCTTCCTGCTTTATTACGCCTTCCTGGTAGCGTTCTATATCTCTTCGAAAAAAAATAATATCATGCTAAAAAATAAGTCGAATTGGGAATATAAAGCAATTTATGGCGACTCAATGTCAAAAGGCACAACATAGTTGTAAGAAATAATTATATAACGTAAACAAAAGGCCTTAAATACCCGACTCCAGTAGAAAATAAGGATATCGACGTCTAGCTTAAAATAAGTCACGTGACATTTTATGAAGATCTAGTCGAAAGTTTATAAAGAGAAAGAGGACATCGGTCATGGGTAACCAGTATATTTGTTCGAAGAGGAAAATAGACAAAAGAGAAATTGCTTGTCTGGCTAGAAGCAAGCTGATAAAAGTAGCGCACGTGAACTATGGGTTGCCAAGATGAAGCCGACACTTTACCATGTACTCTAAATTTGTTATTTTTAGAAATAAAAGCTTCTCTAGTCAGTTTTTTAAGTACTCCACCTGAGATAGATTGAAGTTAAACGAATGTTTTTTAACTTCCTAAAATATGGAGTTGTACATACTTAAGTTGTTCAGTGGTACACGAGACTAGTTAAAATTAAAAACATTCGAATCGATGAGACTAGTATTAAAAATTCAATATTAAGCACAGATTATCTAAACACTGATCACTTTGGAGTGGCCAGGTAAATCTAATTACTTTCAACAATATGGACTTAGTCAACTACTAACTGAAGTGCAAAGACCAAGCTTATTTCGGAAAATAATGGTAATTTATAAATGATATGACACCATAAGTATTTCATATTTATAAATTGATGTATGAATTAATGGCAGTGTATTTTGAAGTTTAGTGTTACTTAGCTTGACAAATGCATATCATTTACCTAACATTCTTCTATTTAATTAGAAAATAAAAACTGAAGTTAAATCATTCAATCATTCAATTTCACTAATGGATTCATCATCATTTCAAGATACCCTCAACACTGATCCAGAATTAACATTCGATGATTTACCGATGCCATTTAAAATGTTAGACAAATTATTATGGAGCATATTTGAGGAAACATGGAATTTAATTGAAACAAAAGAGAAATATAAAAGTGAGCAATTCAATTTCCAACAATCATGTTTACAAAAACTGAATGTGAATATGGTAGGTTGGAAATAAAATTTGTTCTTAACAAAGTTACTAATAAAATAATTACTAATAATAGGACATTGAGAATATTCACATATTTACAATTGTTGGACAGTATTTATTTAAAATATTTGAAAATCAAATTATTGTATATGATGTAAACAGTTTGAAATTGATTTCGGAGTGGAAGTACTTGAATGGACTTAACAGTTGCAGCGTAATACGTACATTTAAAACAATTCAATACGATAAAAATGTTATTTTGCAGCTTATTATAAATGACTCAGGTAATATAAGTATTATGTAATGCTTTTGTTACGGGTAAGATAAAAATTTACAATTGAATGGTAAACTTTTGATCCTTAACTTAGTTAAGTTTTTAACTTGTTGGTTTGACTGAATAGTCACTAACTGTGTTATACAAATGCTTCTGTTTAATGACCGTATGTTACTGAATCTCTCCTTGCTTACAAGTGACTAAACGTTTCCTTGTCTGGAAGATATTATTACATACCATCTCAAAAGTATTTTGTTGCCTGTAAATTATTTTCTATTCACATCACTGATCAAAATACCTTGATTTCTATCATTCCCTAATGATTGAAGTATTGTGATTTATTTGAAAGTTGATCCGTCTTCTATTTTCTTGAATACCCACTAAATATTATCGGCCCTTTATATAGTAATATTTTAAATTTGGATAGTTGGTTCTACTCTAGACTCAAAAATGTAAGTGAAACTACATTATTCTAGTTAGAAAGGTGATTCTAAAGAGCAATAATACAAGGAGAGTTTTCTATCTATGGTAAAAATGCCGACATGGATTTGACATAGTTTAGATCTAAGCAGATTAATAATCAGCGAAAATACAACGCGAAACATTGATCAGTACCATCAGTTAAGATGCTGAGAGAGAGTGGATTAACATCACGAACAATTACTATTGCATCTACGTAAATTCACTTTATCTGTTTTAGTGAACAGAGATGATCGGTAAGGGAGAGTTTGATGATGATAAAAGATAATGATGGTTATATAAGTCGCAGAAGTTTGTTTCCAAGTTATACCAACAAACAGTAATCAATGAAAAATGTTTGGAATAGAATTTGTATTTGTGATCTGCAGATAAATAGTACCTTCTTGTTTCATATATAGGTATCAAATATCAATCCAAAACAACGTATTTATGAAAACGCAAATAGAAATGTAAGATTAGTCCGTTCATTCGGTTATCTTTATCTTCAGATATATTTTATGGGTTTTTCGAGGGATTAGTCCGAGATGAAAGTAGTTCATAAAATTTACTGAAGTTAAATAGAGAACACAGTCGCGAGGAAATAATTATCTGTTTTATTTTTTTTTAGTGAATACTTTAATGAACATAGACCCCAGAACTTTTCGGTTAGAACTGGGTTTAAATGAGAACAATTTTTCTTCGACTTCAGCGTTATTTTATAGTACAACTTCTGTGTAGTTTAAACCCTTCAAATAAATTTTATTCTGACAGAAATAAGAATTTAAATATATGTTATTCCTTTATGTGTTCATTTCTTGAAAGGTGATGTACAATGACTGTACAAGTAAACATACAAAATTTATGACATAATCACTGTTATTGTACACTTTACCATCAGGAATTAAAAATGGTTTCAACAAAGATGCTCATTTGTTGTTTGGTAATTAAAATGAACCATGAATAAGAGGATGGCAAAATTTCACCAACCTAATATAGTATATATGTAAACTAGTATTTATTAGAGTTCAACTAATTGTTACTTTAATGGGATAGTTTCATTCTGTCCCCAATTAGAGTGTTTTATCAAAAGAATTGTTGATCTCTTCAAAGCATGTGCTTATTTTTAGTAATAATTGTCACTGTAAAGTGAACAGATGATGAGAGGCCTAGGTTACTCAACTTTTAAACATTTACTAGTGGATCTAAATATTGCTTCTACTTTGGTTCGCATGACCAGATAACCTTGTTTAAGATCTAAAGTTAAATACAAAATGTTGTATATGGTTAGTGTTTGAAATTATTGGTTAATTAAATAATTTGTAAAGTGTATTTAATACAGATTAGCCACAGTTGTGGTACAAGTAAATACTATGGGACTCTGGACAGTTGTTTCCTCTTAGTATGTGAGTGCACATCCATGACCACTTCAGGGTTCGAATTCAGAACCTTTGGTTTTCATGGAGAATGGCTAACCACTAGGTCAGTGTCCAGTGGTACAATTCAAATTGCACTACAACCATCTAATGTTAATTATCACTTTAAAAATATTTAAATTACATCAGTCACAGCAAATCAATTAAATTCTCACTTATCTCTTTTAACTCACTTTCGTAAATAACTATTGACAACTTTATTATTTGATTTTGTAAAACTCATTTATTCAGGTCAAATAAGTCTTGTGATGTTTGTTGAAGGGTTATTCATTCCAATAAAGCAATATAACTCACCATCCGATGGTTTACTATATCATACACTCAATGGGAAGATTTCACCGTGCGGAAAATATTTTATCTCTTTAAATGAAGGTAATATATATATATATATATATATATATATATATATATATATATATATTAGTTGTAAATCTATTCATAACATATGACTCAAATTGTGTCGATCTAGAAAATTAACTCCTAACTAAAATTATGGAAATAAATCACTAAAACAATACACATTAATGATATAATGTAGTGAATGCTACTTATGCTGACAGATATAAGTACTATGTAGCACCGATTGGAAGTGAAATGTCTGGCAGCAGAAGATTGAATTGAAGAGAACAGAAAAGAAATCGTAGAACAATCAAAATAACAACAGAATTAAAGGCATAGTGGAGTGTGTAGAGCCTAACGTAATAAAGATATGGAAATGATGTACTTAATGTATGATTTTAATATTTTTTACTGGGCCGCTGTGTAATTTTGCATTGAATATAAAATTGGTATTCCCCTCCTGAGTTCTTGTTTACCACAATGTTGGAAATAAAATTGATGCATATTTTAGTGTTCATCCATATAGAGAACCATGTCTGTTAATTTTTTAGAGCGATTTTACTTGACTGGTCATTTGAACATTTGCTATTCTAGATCCGGTTATACTCAGATATCAGATAACTTTAAATGAATAAGTAAGAAGCTTGATAACTTTGGAATGTGGTTAGCAGTAGAATACAGAAGGCTCGTCTGTACCTTTCTTGGGTTCATCAACATAATGTACTTTCATTCTAGTAGTAATATTCACACTAAACTCTATCCGTCTACCCATTATAACTCTGAAGCATTACTTCTGAGTTTCAATGTACGATGTATTCCAATAAATTTTCCATTTCTATAAATTCAAAAGATTTTGCTATAAAAATACGTTGTTGATCAATCATAAATTTATTAACTGCTTCATATGTATAGTAGAGTTAGTGCATACTGATCACGTTATTTTGGAATTTTTATACGATTTGAACGTTCTGAGTTTGAATCCTGATCAAAATTCTCTTACTTGTGTTTTGAGCTTAAGCCTAATTAGCCGTGAAGTTTAAATTTCAACCAATAATTCACGAAGATGGATCTTACTTTGTCTATCTGAGACTAGATAGCCACTGTCATCAACATTTGAATAAGAATTACAATCGATTGCTTTATAAAAAAATAATAACCAAGTAACTTTTACATTTATCCCATTGTTTGCTCCAGTGCTTTCAGGTTTTCCATGGTGGTTTAGCTTAAATTGACTCATGATCTCAACTATTAAAATTACAATAATATCCACAAAACCCCCCATGATATTATTCAACATATACTCACTAGTGACGGTCTCCAAGAGGTATTTCTCGAAGGTCTGGTGAGGAGCCTTGGCCGGTAGAGTTCAACCGAGTCTGTTGTGAGATAGTAACTCACTGAAGACAATGGTGGATGTGTCGTTTAATTTCGTGGATTAGTTCAAGTTAGGCATTAACATCGTTGCATGTCGGTCAGCTCAGTAGTTCAGAGGTTAAGCGTTCGCGCGCGAGACCGATGGGTCCTGGGTTCGAACCCCGCGAAGTGGGGTTGTGGGTTGTTGAGTCGTCCCAAAATGGGACGAAATGGCCGTCCAGTGCTTCCAGGTTTACCATGGTGATCTAGCTTCAACTGATTCATGAACCCAACTATTAAATTACTATAATATCCACAAACTCCTTCTGATACTCATTAATTGTAATAGAAAATATTTCATTCATTTAAAAATTATTATTATATACCCATTAAATAAAACTTAGATTTAATTAATATTATATATACATGTATGTATATCAAATTTCGACAGATTCAATTAATTCGAAAATTTGGTTAGAAGTTTATCGTTTACCAGTAGATGCATGGATGAAAGAAATTTTACCAATCGTTCAAGAATTTCAAAATGCAAGAACATTCACATCAAGCCTGGAAACCTCAACTCAGGTGAATAATTGTTTGTTAATTAAGGATTATGATTGTTTATTTTACGATCGAATAGTGTATGATTTGTAGTAGTAGATTGTTTGGTGAGACTATAATTTATGGACGACCTTGGAGCAACACTAGACTGACCTTGAGATTGTTCACTCAATTATAATTTACAGTTGACAATCAAGGTTACGAATTAGATTTCGGGTTTTCATCACGAAATGACGTCAGCTATAATGCCAAAACTCTATTTATCCAAATGGATGAATGGATTTCGCGCAAAAACCTTTTATCTTATACGTGATTGGTCCATATATATATATACCTGTTACTCCCGATAGAGCATAGGCCGCCGACCAACATTCTCCAACCCACTCTGTCCTGGGCCTTCTTTTCTAGTTCCATCCAATTCTTGTTCATTTTTCTCATGTCTATTTCCATTTCTCGGCGTAATGTGTTCTTTGGTCTTCCTCTTTTCCTTTGGCCTTCAGGATTCCATGTGAGGGCTTGTCTTGTGACGCAGTTGGGTGCTTTCCTCAATGTGTGTCCTATCCACTTCCAGCGCTTCTTCCTGATTTCTTCCTCCGCTGGGATCTGGTTTGTTCTCTCCCACAGTACGTTGTTGCTAATAGTGTCCGGCCAACGGATCTGAAGTATTTTGCGTAGACAACTGTTAATAAACACCTGTATTTTCTGGATGATGGCTTTCGTAGTTCTCCAGGTTTCTGCCCCATACAGTAGAACTGTCTTGACATTTGTATTGAAAATCCTGACCTTGGTGTTGGTTGACAGTTGCTTTGAGTTCCAGATGTTCCTCAGTTGTAAATATGCTGCTCTTGCTTTGCCGATCCGCGCCTTCACATCTGCATCAGATCCACCCTGTTCATCAATGATGCTGCCCAAATATGTAAAGGTTTTTACATCTTCCAAATCTTCTCCGTCAATTGTGATTGGATTGGTGCATTCTGTGTTGTATCGGAGAATCCTGCTTTTCCCTTTGTGTATATTGAGACCTACTGCTGCTGAGGCTGCTGCCACACTGTTCGTCTTCTCCTGCATCTGTTGTTGCGTTTGGGATAGAAGGGCCAGATCATCTGCGAAGTCTAGATCGTCCAACTGCATCCTAGATGTCCATTGTATCCCGTGCTTCCCTTCAGACGTTGACGTCTTCATGATCCAGTCGATCACCAGGAGAAAGAGAAAGGGTGAGAGTAAGCAACCTTGCCTGACACCGGTCTTCACTTCGAACGACTTTGTCAACTGTCCTCCATGCACGATTTTGCAGTGTAATCCATCATATGAGTTCTGTATGATATTGACTATCTTCTGAGGCACGCCGTAGTGTCGAAGAAGTTTCCATAGTGTTGTTCTGTCCACGCTATCAAATGCCTTTTCGTAGTCAATGAAGTTGATGTAGAGTGATGAATTCCATTCAATTGATTGTTCCACAATGATCCGTAGAGTTGCGATTTGGTCTGTACACGATCTATCCTTACGGAATCCTGCCTGTTGGTCACGAAGTTGGGCGTCTACGCAGTCCTTCATCCTGTTTAACAATACCCTGTTGAAGACTTTTCCCGGTATTGAGAGAAGAGTGATGCCCCTGTAGTTATCACAGTTGCTGAGATCGCCTTTCTTCGGTATTTTGATCAGAAGTCCTTCTTTCCAGTCTTTTGGTACTTGTTCCTCATCCCAAATCTTATTGAAGAGAATGTGGAGTATCCTTGCAGTTGCCGCTACGTCTGCTTTTAGTGCCTCTGCTGGATGTTGTCCGGTCCTGCTGCTTTGCCACTCTTTGATGGCCATGCTGATTTCTTCAATTGTTGGTGGGCCAACATTGATTGGGAGGTCCGTGGGTGCTGCTTCGATGTTGGGTGGGTTCAGTGGAGCTGGTCGATTCAAGAGTTCTTTGAAGTGTTCTACCCACCTGTTTTGTTGCTCTTCAATGTTGGTGATTACCTTGCCTTCCTTGCTTTTCACTGGTCGTTCTGGTTTGCGGCGATTTCCAGAGAGTTTCTTTGTCGTGTCATACAATTGTCTCATGTTTCCTTCTCTTGCAGCCTTTTCCGCCGTCGTTGCTAAATCTTCCACATATTTACGTTTGTCGGTTCTGATGCTCCTCTTCACTTGTTTGTTTATTTCCGTGTATTCAGCTTGTGCCTTGGCTTTTTCTGCTCTTGTTCGGCTGGTATTGATTGCTGCCTTCTTGTTCCTTCTTTCTTGAATCTTATCCAGTGTATCAACAGTGATCCATTCCTTGTGATGGTGCTTCTTGTGACCCAGGACCTCATGACATGTTGAAGTGATTGCCTCTTTGATCCCCTTCCAGTTGCTCTCCACAGTAGTTCCTTCTCCATTGAGTAGATCATGAAAGGCCTGGAACTTGTTGCTGAGGACTATCTTGAATTTGTTGAGTTTGTTAGTATCCTGGAGAAAGGCCGTATTGAACTTTTGTGATATTGTCCGCCCCGTTGTCCAGTGCTTCTTGAGTTTCAATTTCATCTTGGCGACCAGCAAGTGATGATCTGATGCTATATCAGCTCCTCTCTTGGTTCTCACGTCCTCTATAGTCCTCCTGAACGTTTTGTTGATGCAAATATGGTCGATTTGGTTTTGTGTGGTGTGATCCGGTGAAGTCCATGTGGTTTTGTGTATGCGTTTATGTGGGAATATGGTGCCGCCTATGACCAGTTTATTGAAGGCACATAGATTTGCAAATCTCTCACCATTTTCGTTCTTTCTCCCAGTCCGTGTCGTCCCATGATGTCTTCATATCCAGTGTTGTCCGTTCCAACCTTGGCGTTGAAATCTCCCATCAGAATGGTCAGGTCCTTTGTTGGGCACTTCTCGACGATTGACTGCAGCCTATTGTAGAATTGATCTTTAGCGTCTTCATTGTAGTCGTTGGTAGGCGCATAGCATTGGATGATGTTCATTGAAATGCCCTCTTTCTTTGTTTTGAACGAGGCTTTGATGATCCTTGGTCCATGAGATTCCCATCCTATAAGTGCATTTTGCGCTTGTTTGGACAGCATCAATGCAACTCCTTGTGTATGTGGTGCATTTTCTTCTTCATGGCCGGAGTATAACAGGAGCTCTCCTGTAGTTAGTCGTTGTTGTCCAACTTGTGTCCAATGTGTTTCACTGATCCCAAGTACCTCTAGGTTGTATCTTCTCATTTCTGCAGCAATTTGGAAGGCTCTCCCGGTGTCCCACATTGTACGAACATTCCATGTACCTAAATAAATGGTTGCTCTGGTTGTCAGAAGGGGCATCGGCCTCGTAACTTCCGAAGGAATTCGGCTTTCATCATGAGGCGTCATAATTCTTCTAAATGAAGACCTTCTGACTCCCAGGGCAGAGTTTAAAAGGTTTGAATAATTTTTTCTGGTTAGCGTTTTTTTAGCGAGTTAGTTTTCTACGGGATGGGGACGCTAACCCCATGCCCAACCCTCCTCCTTTATCCGGGCTTGGGACCGGCAGTAGCCCCCGGAGGGACTCCAGGTGGAGTTATATATATATATATATATATATATATATATATAATCATTTGGAGTTAATAAGAAGAATGATTACATCATAGGTATTAATGCCATGTTTGAGCTTGATAGTTTCAAATAAATTGAGCATTATGTAGAGAGTTAGTAACAAATATATATTTTTTTGTCATATTTCAATGAGTGGAAAAATTGTATTTCTGACGTTTCTTAAGTTAATGCAAGTCACTTCTTTAGAGTAAATAAATACCCAAAACTAGGTTTTTTATTTACCATGAAGAAGTGGCTTACATTAAGTTGCGAAACGTCAGAAATAAAAATTTTCTACTCATTCAGATATAACAAAAAATATGTTTAATAATGATTAATTAAGTTTAATTTTGTAAATCACATTGTTTATATTGTGTTTAAACTTATCAGAAGAACTAAATGTATGCACAGCTCTTGATTTGGGTCCGCGTGACTATAGTAACCAATGGTTAGAAACTCTGGGTGACATGGCTCAGAATAGAACACAATGGCGCAGGTGCATGCACTCTCTGTCTTCCTTTAAACTATGAGATTAAAATCGCTTCATACCTTTCTTTCTGTACTACATCCTTATATGCAATCTTTCTTTCATATATAATAACCATTGAATTAACTACTTCTATGAATCCAGTGTTAATCTTGTTGTGCTAATGAGGTATTGCAACTTGGATCGATTCATATATGTGCCTGGTCCTACTGACTGACTAAATTTAGATATCTTTTATTTTAACATCAAGATCCATATAATCAATAGAGATTTCGTAACTGTCAATGTTGTAGAGCATATTATGGTTTATTACCAAAAAAATGTATTAGAATAAGACTATTTATTAATCGACTATTAATAAATTAGATAATTTAGAAGAAAACAACTCATATTTATTTTATTCTAGGAGACAACCATTAATCTGATCGAACGAAAATCATTTTATGAAAATCAATTTCAGCTTAGTTCACCTATGTTATTAGGAAGAATTAAATATCCAGTAATGCCGCCAAGTGAGAAAGTTTTTAAAATCACATCGTGTTTTATTATCATTATTTTAAACAATAATTTTTTAAAATTTAATGGGAAAATACAAGTAAGCAATACCAAGTAAATTTAAAACTTCACCCCATAGCACAAGCAGGTGGCTATCAGCACTCAGTAACTAAGTGGATAACGCAATGGCGTTTGAAACGAAGGGTATTGGGTTCGAGCCTCGAAGTGGACATCAGCTCTGAGATGTAGGTACATCCAGCTGACGCATCCCAAATAGGTGCCTACTGCTAGCCACTATCCACCTTTGCTTTGCTTATAAACAAGTTTTTAACATATAAATTCTATTCAACTCTGAATAAAAATCATTTGAGCATTTAATCGTTTCCATAAATTTAGATTATGTAATGAGATAATTCATCAAAATTATATAATATATTAGTGCAATATATTTCGGATAGTCTTATCACACATTAACTTTCTAAGGCATTTAAATATAAAAAATCAAAGGTCGACTAGACAAATAAGAAGATAAGTGAAAAACAGAGACAATAAGGAAAATGACATGAAAAACAATATGAATAACACTACTGTAGATAATAAAACAATATTAATGGAGTAGATTTAGTGTAAGTACAAAATGTTTTTAAACAAACAAAATGGTTTTCACCTTTGTATATCAGGAGCTTCATTAAACCTAACATAGGAGTTGTCTAGGTTGGATGTTAGACAGTACTGTGATATCTATGATCTAAATGTGAAAACAAAATACTATGATATGACTAAGGTTGAGGTTGGTATAACTCGACTCAAACATAACGACAAACATTATTGTTAGATGATGATATATTTATCTATTCACAATTGAAGATTTTTTTTCATTTCTTAGTAGTACACTGATTTACTTGCATTAATTATTCAACAAAGCGGCCATAGGATGAATCCAGACTTTCAATTATGGTCTAAAGTTGGTCGATTTACGATCCCAACCAAAAACTGTTTTTTAATTATAACTTGGAACTTTGCAAGCATGAATGCTTCATATATTAGGAAGGATGGATTGTAGGTATTAGCATATATTGGAATTAATATAGTATCCTACATTTTGTTATTCTGGCTAGAAGGTACAGATTTAGCCAGTGAGAAAAAGCTAGATAAAGGACAGTCTACTATTTAGCAATAAATGGTCAACTGTTTGGAATGAATTGACAAATTCACTTATTTAATAAAACTTAACAATGAATAGAACATCTATACGTTATCAAAAGTTTAGAACACTTGACAAATATTGTCTTTATTTAGTGATGTCTGTTCTGTGATCATAAAGAAGTCCTGTCATAATTGATGTCACTGTTTGGAAAAACTTCTAATGAAATGTAGAAATTTCATTTAAATAAAACTTTCCCTGAAGAAGTCCAGACTAGTTTGCTAGATGAAGCATTAAGATTATTTATATTTCAATTGCTTGGTTCACCAGAATATGAGTATTATATTTTATGTCTTCATTATATACTCGGTGCCCAATTTCTGTCGAACTACTGGTTTAAAATTTAACAAACGTTCATATACATTAAAAAGAAGAATATATTTGTAAAATCTCAGCGAATGAATTTTAAGTAAATCCAACGTTTCGCCTGGCAATCTGGTCCTTGAAAAAGCTTGGACCAGATTGCCAGGCGAAACGTTGGATTTACTTAAAATTCATTCGATGAGATTTTACAAATATATTCTTCTTTTTAATGTCTCAAATTAACTCGGCGCCCAAATATTGTGAAACTATTCGTTCAAATTTAGACGAAAGTTCTTATTTAAACGTTCATATATATCTAAATAACATTTATTACTACTTAATAAATTGAAGTAGTCTAAGATTATTAGTAAATATTTTGCCTATTGTTTCTGTGTTCGCATTTACTTATTTCTGAAGGTCCTGCATGTAAATCAGTAACAGCAGCACTCAAGCAAGCTAATGATAAGGCTAATCTTTTGAGTTACTCAAATCTTGGTACTCATTTGTATTCCGATGCAATTAATGAATCAAACCAGTTGACATTCATCGAACATCGAAATTATCCTTCCTGTTTAACAGCTCTTCCTAAACCACAGCTTGATGAAAAGAATTCAGTATCCGTCCAAGGATTCACAGAAAGCCCTGAATCTACAAAACGTGAGTTTACTAAGGCAGGTAAAAGACAGAAAGAAGTATTTGGTTAATTGTTTCTGGAAGTGGTTATTTATTATTTTGAAAAATCTAAATAATTAGATCAACTGTAAATGGTTCAAAAGAAGGAGAAAATGATGCAGAAGTAGAGCAAACTTTCATTTGCTTCGTTTGGTAAAAATAAATGCAACATAAAGCTTCTAAAATGTTCAACACCATTATTTTTACGAGAAAAGTTAATTCTATGATGGTTAAGATTTAATACTTTGTAGCTTAGATTCATTTTCAGTATAGGGTTGCGTAGAATGCTTAGTTCACTGAAATCATGAACCTATCAATGTTAGACTACCATTGAAAACTTGAAAGCACTGAATCTTCGTTTCGTCCGAGTGAGCCTCCTCAGTAGTGTTTATCCACGGCTTCACACGTTGAAGTCAAACCCAGGATCTTCGGTCTCGAGCGCAAACGCTTCAACCCTAGACCATTGAGCCGTTATCCAACGGTGTTGACGTCTAACTTCAATCAATCCACTATATTACGCAACCAGCTTACATTGATTGGTTCGTGATTTCGGTGAAACTCAAAAACCTCCACAACTGTATACTGGTAATTGTTATGCTCACACTAGTGACTTACTTCGAGAGGTAGGCCACGGAGTTCTAGTGAGAAACCGCGACCAGCGAAGGTGAACAGTGTTGGGTGAAACAGTTACCCACCGAAAACAATGGAAGATAGTCACTCGACATCGTGGATTGCTTGAAGTTAGACGTCAACACCATTAGATACTGGCTCAATGGTCTAGAGGTTAAGAGTTCGTGCTCGAGATCGAAGGTCCTTGGTTAGATTCCAACGTGAAGTTGTGGATGCTCACTCTTGAAGAGCGGTATAGTAGGAAGAAACGGCTGTCAAGTGCTTTTAGGTTTCGATTGGTAGTCTATCACTGATCAGTTCATGATTTTAGACTTACTGAAAAAAATCCGCCTTGTTTTATGTTGCTTAAAATTATTTTATTTTGTTGTTGCATACTTTCATATTACATACACAAAAAATAGAGATATCTGAACCCACAACAGAAAGAAGTCAACCACACTCACCAAGTTCAATAAAACATCAAACTAGAAATACAAAATCTTCTAAACGTAAACAACAGCACAAAGAACAAACAATAAATGGACGTAATAATAAAAAAGCTGAAAAGATTAACTCTAATGTTGAAACTACCGATGCATTATCAAATAAAGACAACGATGAAAAGTCAAAAAGGAAGAATAAAATTAATAATAAAAAACAAGAAATTGAATTAGATAGTGAAACAAATGTAAAAGATTCGGTTATTGTTGGAACTGAACGAGTAGATGATTCATTGAAAAAAATTCAACAAAATGAAGAAATTAGAAGACAGTTAATAAAAGATTTAAATGAAGCACAACCTAAATGGTAAAAGTGTAAAATTTTTACTTATAAGAAATTCTAAAGTGAATTGTAAAATGAAATAACTTTCAATAGTTAATATTTTATGACTTCCGGTTCCTCACATTGTACGAATATTCCATGTACCTCAATTAATGGTTGCTGTGGTTGTCAGAAATGGCATCTGCCTTGTGACTTCCGCAGGAACTCGGATTTTATCATGAGACGTCATAACTCTTCTAAATGAAGGCCGTCTAACTCCTAGGGCAGAGTTTAAATGGTTTGGATTATTTTTTCTGATTAGCGTCTTTCTAGCGAGTTAGTTGTCTACGGGATGGGGTCGCTAACCCCATGCCCAACTCTCCGCCTTTATCCGGGCTTGAGACTGTCAGTAGCCCCGGAGGAGCTCCAGGCGGAGTTACTTATTATTGTACACAGTATTATGTTTGAATCATCAGAATGATTACAGAGAATTAGAAATTAATTCTAATTATAGGTCATACTATTATTTCAACTCTAACAGGGTACTTTTTCACTTAACATCACAGTCATAACTATTATTATCGAAGTCTGTTATTTATTCAACCATGATAAACCATTTTGGAATTACTATTTGTTCTTCAAACTTTACTAATAAAACTTGACGAATATTCAAGAACAGATAAAATAACACTAATGATTATCATTATAGTTGGTTTGTGTTCCAACAGTCTTAAATAAACATTCGATATTTGTCAGATTATTAATCTTGATATAAGATCAGAAACTGCTGTTGATGTGAAATTTTAGTGTTCTTTCTTGACAGTTCAAATGATTATTAATATTCACAGTTTTAATCATGAACTGATAACCTATGAAAAGAAGGAAACACTGGGAAACTGTTTTGGCTTAGTTTTAAACTACACAGTAGCGCGCAACTACGATCACACCTAGGATTATTGGTTTAATTTTCATGCTTAACCTTAACGACAGTTAAGTTATTTGACTATAGTTACGTAGAAAGAATTAGTTGAAATAGGTCTCCCTTTATTAAAATTTGTTGTCCAGAAGAACTGACAATTGCAGAATAATTGATTTAGCACTACAGATAAACATTTAATTGTATATATGGTTTGGTTTTTGACGAAAATTTGTTATGACTAGGCACCTTACTGATAATAACTGCTTTATTTAGTATCATAGATTTTATTACATGGAAGAGTTATCAGTACCAGTTGTTCAATATTGTCTTGAAAAAGTTAAGAGCAAAGAATTGAGGAGAATACCACTATTTTCATCTCATTTGATTAAGTTCTCATCAGTTATTGACATCTTATAGTATAATGAAAATTAAAAATTACTAAGTGAATTTGAAAAAAAAACTGATATAAATGACAAACATTCTAATCAAACAAATGACTGCAATAGGAAATTATTTTCAGTATAAATCAGTATATGTGACCACTTAATTGTAGTCCTTTGATCATTTGTTGCTATCAATGTTGTGGAATGTATTTGAAATAATTTTTTATTAATTGGCTTAAATTTATTTACATCTTTTGTAAACTATACTGGTTGACCAGTGGAGTTCAACTGGGTTTGCTGTGAGATAGTAACTCATTGAAGACAATGATGGAAGTAATGCTCAGTTAGTTGAAGTTAAACATTAACACCGTTGGATGCTGACAAGCTCAGTGGTCTGTTGGTTAAGCATTCACGCGCGAGACTGATATGACCTGGGTTGGAATCTCACGTGGCAAAATCGTGGATGCGCACTGCCACTGTGGAGTCCCACAATAGGACGAAGCGGCCGTCCAGTGCCTCCATGGTGTTCTGGCTTCAATTGACTCATGATCTCAACTACTGAAATATACTGCGGTGTGCTTAAAGCATTTTCTAACTAAAGTCATTTGTGTGAGTATTTTCAATCAATATTTATAATTATGATTTTTAGTTATTACAAGTTGTGAGTAGTTGATAAAAATCTGAGAAAATTATTAGGAAGAAGTAAAATAGATGTTAGTTCTATCAATTGTAGTGTGTAGTGTGTAAATTAACTCTTATCAATGGTGTTATTTTTATTCCTTGCATCAGGCAATATCAGTCTTGTTCCGTCAAATAGATAGCGTATAACAGCTTGTATAACAGTCATAACAAACCATTATGAGCACAAATAGCATCTTGTTTAATTGCTACAAAAATTCATGTTAACAACACATAGATGTGAATGAATAATGTTTTTCTTTTTCAATAAGTTCCCGTCAGGTTCTATTGTCATAAATCTAAATTAATGTTTCAAAAGGAATAGCCAAGTTCAAAGTAAATATGTCATTCAAAATTACAATTTGTAAAATCCAGGATTATTGGCGGGAAAATATGACATGAAGTGAGAAAAATAATAATGTAATTGCAAATCAAAATAAATATTTGATCTGCAATTGCATAATGAATAGAATAATATGGATTAAGTAAGATATGGTAAATAGGGATGGGTGCCAATTAAATTCCTCAAATGTTTACAACCATATAAGATAAGTGATTCAGATATATTCAAGCTACGAAAATATAAAGATGAAAGCTGTACATACATTTGTCAAACTGTGCCTCTATATCACCAAAATGATTGTTGACGAATTGGCTCAGAAGCTGGTCAATATGAAAGAAGCAGTTGAACATATTTCTTTGGATTCAAAGCTTCGATGTTTTGATCGGAATAGCTACTGTTCAAACCTTTGTTCTTCTTTTCAAGTAAATTAAAGGGATTATATATACGCCATATTTTACCATACATCTAAATCGTAATTATTCTCAAGATCTTTTGGGAGTTTTTTATTAGTCAGTATTTGCCACTTATATTCAGTTGCGAAAACTTTATATCATTTTAAGTGTTATGTCCTTTATCGTCATATGTATGAATTTTAGTGTAGTCATTTATTGTTTGTTCAAGTTATGAACAAAGAGGTACAAGTACTTCTATTTCTGTGTATAATTTTTCTAGTGCTGAACATCCCAACAAGTTGTAAGCTTTTTATAGAATTTTCGTGATCGCATACACTTGGCCATAAATATAATCTAGATCAAGAGGATTGGTTTTAACATTTACATAGTTGGAAAGACAACTGATCCAATTATCCAGCTATCTACTTTGTATTAGTTTACGGATTCTGTTTGAATGAAATCTAGTATTTGGTTCTTGAAAAGCAGATCAAACTGTATTTTATTTCAATGGTTAAGATCATGAGTCAGTTGAAGCTAGACCACCAAGGAAAACCTGGAAACACTGGATGGCCGTTTCGTCCTATTGTATGACTCCTCAGCAGTGTACATCCACGACCTCGCCCCCTGCGAGATTCGGACCCAGGACCTACTGGTTTCACACGCGAGCACTTAACCACTAGACCACTGAGCCGGCATCCAACGGTGCTAATGTCTAACTTCAACTAATCCACCAAACTGAGTGGCACATTCACTATTGTCTTCAGCGAGTTACTATCTCACAACAGACCTGATTGAACTCCACTGGTCACTACTTCTCACTACAACTCCAGGATATACCTCTTGAAGCCAGTCACTAGTGAGCATATGTTGATTAATATCAGATGGGTTTTATGGATATTGTAGTAGTTTCATGTTTATGCCGGTTACTCGACAAAGCATGATATTTGGTTTTCCATTTAATTAATTATAAATCATAGATTTAAAACACTCAGTATGTAGCTATCTATTATATTTTAAGGAAGTTAAACTTGTATAAATCATATAAAACTGGTTACAGTTTTTTAAAGTGTACAACAAAGAAAATGCATTTCCCTTTTTTTCTCACTTTGTTATAGCTATCCATATTTTGAATTCCTGCCAATTAGTTTAACCTCTAATAGTAAACTATCAGAAATTTCATCTTTGACCAATTTGTGTAAGTTTACAAACTTATTATATTCTCTATAGACCTGGTCATTAGAGAGAGTAATTTTTCTTGAAAATTCCCCGATTCGTCTTTGGTATAATACTGTACTAATAAATCTATAAGTTATTCATTTTTATTTAACCGACATCAGCTTATTCATCGGTTTTTGATGTTACTTACTGTAACCCCACATTGAGCATAGGCCACCGACTGGGAATCTCCTACTCTCCTTTTCAATTGTTACTAAATGATATTCATTATTTTGGTGTCTACATTTAATTTCCTGGTCAATGTGTTTTTGAGTCTTTTTCTTCTTTTTGCCTTGAGGAATACCAAGTCAAGGCTTGCTTCGTGATGATGATTTCTGCTATGTGTACCCTATCCACGTTCTGTCTCTCCCTACTTTCCTCTTTACCTGGTTTTTTTGCCACGTCAGGTTGCTGCTAATGGTATGTGGCTAACGGATCTGCAGTATATTACTTTTTAGATGATGGTTGTAGTAGCCTTTTAAGTTTAAGCTCCGTGCACTAAAACTGTCTTGTTGTTTGTATTGAAAATTCTGGCTTTGGTGGTGACTGATAGTTGTTTTGAGTTGCAGATGCTGTTCATTTGTAAGGATGCTGTCCTTGCTTGGCTAATCTTTGCCTTTACACCGTCATCGAATATCCCTTGTTCACCAATGGTACTGCTTAGGTGTGCAAAACTTTCCATCTCTTCCAGAGCATCTCCATTAAGTGTGACTTGGACGGTGCTCATTGTATTGTATTTTAAGATCTTGTTTTCTCCCTTGTGTATGTTGAGATTATTGATATCGATGAATGCGAACATAATTACAGTCAATATTGGTTGTATACTGAAATAAATACTATCAACAAATAATAATAATCAGAGTTTCCTTGATTTTTCGCATTACACTAATTCCTCAGCTAATTTATTATCGCTTCATTTTTTCTGTGAAATGTATCGGAGTCGAATTCATGAGTGGTTTAGCATGACTGTATATTGTACTGATTATTTCTTTCTTTCTATTTCATGGCTTTGTTACTCCGTAGAATGGCCTCTTTCTACTGCCCACATTTAAGTAATTTCAAACTTACGCTTACATTTTTATTGTCAAACTGGTGCTTAATGATTCATAGTAGCCAACAGATTATGAGCCCAATTTTATGCTCATAATTATTATTTTATTCTTTTTACATAGCCATTGGGAATAATTAAATGATTCTAAAGTTCAAACTTGCACTTACGGTTTTTGCATCTACATTCATATGTAATTACTCTTAGTGATCAACTGATTTGCATTCTTTAGTTCTTTTATCGATTTACTAGCAACTTTTCTCTGATATTGATTTTATATTCAAATGTTTAACTGAGATGTTGTTTGTTTGGAAAAAGTCTATAAAAAACCTAGAACCTGTGCTTCTCGCCAGTTATAATTCATCACTAAGGCTTATGTGTAGTCTTGAAGGAACTGTCAGTTCATCATCCTGTCTTACAGTCTAGCTCGGTACTACTGAACCATGAATGACCTCTTTTAAGACTGAGATATTTATATTTGATTAGTCGACGAGTATCGACCATTGTCACTTTTGTTTAGTCTTTTAGTACTAGTCAAAATTTAATGTGGTCACTAATCTAAGTAACTCAAATCACGTTAAATATGTTTAGGTGTTTGATGCTTTTGGCTAGTCGGAATCATTATTTATGTCAGTATTTAGCCACTGATCAGGAACTAATTGAAACTACTATCACTTCATTCAAATTGTATCTTTATTATATATTCACTTTAAGTAAATTATGAATGATTAATCACTTTACAAATCTTACGGAAACACTTTTATCTTGAATTTCATTTCATAGTCATTTATAATGACGTAAACTTTTCTAGTCTGGATAACAATGATAAAGTCGTATACATTTTTGTACGAATGTTGTTTTTACGTAAGAAAACAACGTCTTTTTCACCATTTCACCATAGTTGAATGATTAAGAATTGCTACATTTGGGTTCTATCAAACTAGAAAGTGATGGTTTCTGATTTTGTAGGGAAGTTTGTACTGTTTTAAAAGAATTATAGAAAACTTTCGTCCATAACCAGTAACAAAATCACTATTAGTCAGAATGTTCACTAGGGCTTTTGACATTCTCAGTCTAAATAACTATTTCAAGTGCGGATATTTATTTATGCTCTAGATGTATTACTGTAAAACATAAGTATTCGTAAGGCAGTATATGCAAGATGTTCATGATAGAGTAGTTTGTTAATTGAAACTGATGTTTGTTATGGTGATTATGACTTCATTATCATCGTATAAGCTTTAAATTGTTTCATATATGTCTAGAAGGACCTGTATATTACTGTTCGACAGTTAATAATCCTAAGTTTTCATGAAATTTTGACTGAAAAACAAATAGCCAATGACTTTCTTATGATCTAAGATTATTCGTTGTAAACAATCAGACTTTGCAAAATAAATAACTGACTTTTATTCATGACTGATAATCGTTTCTTAATTTCTTTTGTAGCTTACTCTGGATCGATTTGTGTTTATTGGTCTAGATCATGTTATCTTTTCTTTTATCCTTTAGATAAATTCTCTAAAAGTAAGATTTTTATAAATAAAGTATTTATTGTTTGCTTTCCCTTTGGTATCGTTATGTTTTCAGATTGTATGGATAAAGAGGCCACAAAAAAAACAATCCAGATTAGTTTGGTGAATCGAAACGGCTTTAAACACATTTTCAGAGTGTTTAGGCTAGGGTAGTAAAAGCTCAAGTGTTCAGTCATCTTCTACTCTACCCAGCTTTGTTAACTTGTCAGGAGATATCAGTTTAGAGATTACTTTAATGGAGTAGGTGTATAATCAATATTTTCAAAATTCATTAATATGTATCTTGGTATCGAGTTCTTTTCTATAATCTTGATTAGTATCATTTTACGGGTCGTTAAAAACATTATGTTTTTATTAAGCCAGTAATAAATTGTAACAAACGTTTGTAAGTTCGACAATTTATAATTTACCGTTAAAGTAACTGAATTATGGGGGTCAAAAACAATCAATTCAAATGAGTCTCAATCAATAATTATTCAAGTTTGATGTAAACTAACAGATATCTTTTATTTGCATTAGGACCACAGATCATCATTGGTTACATAATTTTGAATATCAAACAAGTAAACTAAGTCATATCCATAGGATGGCTACAGATGCAATAAACATTCTATTAAGTTTAAAACCCCAAACTAATTCCACTCATCATTCAGTTAAACTGTTATACTTAACTTTTCAATTTATCAGATCAGTAAGATAAACCTATCTGGTGCACCTCTACCACACTTAATTTTGTTTACGTTTAACTTCGTCAAGCTCTTCAACCAACGTATTTAACAAACAGTGTTACTAGAACTGTGACAATTAGTATATCTTGATATTGTTATCATGTCTGTATGAACATGTATGCTGGATCACATGTGACAGCCCACACACGTACTCCTCTCTCTAGCTTAAATGTTAGTTGTTTAGATCCCACAATGAATCATTCTCTTTCCCATATATACATGTGCTTGAATCCTGTTAAATCACCTGTGTTCACTCGTTTGCGCGCATTAGCTTTTCCGCTCGAATTTTCTTGGTGTGGTTGTGGTCTATTGATCTAGCTATTCGATAAGAAACTGTAATCGGCGCTTTGTGTTTCCTTCTAAATTTACGCATCGTTGGGATTTATCTAATATATGAAGCCAATCGAATTATTTCCACTACAGATTTATTATTTTTAGTAATCTAGGCACTGGAACAGTTTAAATGGGGGGAATTAATTTCTGCATACTTATTATTTTTGGAAAAAATACCATGTTATCGATAATTGAGAAATATCTGCATTTAATGATATCAACCTGTTATTATTTAAACTTATCCTATTCCTCTCTGCTTCATTTTTCTACATAGCCGAAGAAGGCGTAATAGAAGAAATACGATATTTCGGTTCAGAAATAACTTATATTTCAGTTATCTATTCTAGTCATTCCGTCAATACACATGAAACATTCATTGATGATAAAGAAAATCTGTCAAAGAAGTCAGATTTAATTAATTCGAGAAATAATTATCTGGTGATTGGTCTTCAATCTAGATTAGTTATAATTAAACAATTACAGTCAGGTTAGTTAATCTTATTGGTTGTTAACTCACATTTTCTATTGATCATTGCCTACTGACTAACGTAATAGTAATCCTTATTGGGGAAATATTTCACTGAATACTATTCGTAGTTTTTGTTAGAAATTGCTCTCAACTGAGGAATCTTTTATTGTACATCATAGCTGACTGTAGCTAGAAACTACTGGAAACTAGGAAGATGGCTGTTCTGCCTTAGTAAAAGCCTTTGCATTAGTAGCGCTCATCTACGACCTCATTAGGGAATAGACTCAAGACTTCTAAGCTGTATAGCGAGCTCTTAATCTCTTGAACTTTGTTATTAGTGAACACATAATGAACAGATTTATCAAGAACCATATAACACTAGAGAGCTATCCTGTACTTGACCTATAGTTTCATTTTGGGGCTGTATCTAGGATACCTAAGTTTCGTAGCTTTCATATAAACTTTTGACTAGCTAGTTGGAAAAAAATGATCCTTATTTTTCAGCATTCAGTTTCTAAATACATCTATGTCTTTCTTATCTAATTTTCTTAAGTATCGATCAATTTTTAATTCATTACATATATTTGAAATATGATAACTTCTTTTCAGCTGATAAGCATTCTCTCGATAATTGTTATCATATATAAAGATATTTACACGATCATTTCTCCGTTAGATTGAATCCAGTAGTATAAATGTGATGTGGATTAAGAAGTTCATGTATAAAGTATACGAACTTTGCTTAACAGTAATTCGAAAAGAATGTACTTACTGAATTATATTCAACTTATAGAAGGAAATCGTAGAACTGATGCATATGCAATTAATTTTCATTGATAGTTTCTACTGTGATTATTCATAATCAAAGATTTGCATAACGAATTTTTATTCATTGCACATTGAGACATAATTTAAGATGGCTTTAAAACAATTGAGAAAAAGCTTATTATCTTTGAACAAATGAGGACAATAGATAAGAAAGGAGATGAATATTGAGTTACCAGCTTTTTATTACCCAGAATTGCTCAAAATACAGTGCATCCCACATTTCCTTGTTGATTGATTTAGTATTGTCTACGTTTACGGTTAACTACGCATGGAATTATGTTATATGCAATTAAGTTATTGTATGTTCATTAAACTTATAAATTCAAAACTAGTCAATTTGTTTGATAACCTTAATTCTGAGATAGCTCTCTTAGGGTATTGAATGTCGATAGTTTCTTTCTATATAATCAACCATCTTTTATTAATTAAATAGGATACGCTTCGCTCTTTGAACCGAATTCATTCAATGATCATCATTTTGTCAGATTAATTCGGCTTGAATAAAATAAAATTGAATTGCCATTTGAAAATATGATCTGAATGAACCATTCATGTTTTTGATTATTTAGAAATAAAATGTTACCTACTAGTGTGTCAAGTGAACCACCCTCATTGTTTTTATTGAAATGAACCAAATGAAAAATATCTTATGTATTTCATAGTGTGATTTATTAAACCATGCATTTTGATTACTAATGTACCAATTATAATAACACTTTTATATGAGCAAAGATGGAGTGAACATCAACTACGGGGATGCAGGTAAATTCAGCAGACGTGTCCCAAATGAAATGAAACGCCCGTTCAGGATTCCACTGCTAGCCACCATCCATCTTTACTTATAATGCTTATGGCTTAAGGCAATATCGAGGCAATCCTCACAGGATGTACACATGCCAATAGAAGACTGATCAATTTCAGTCCAAAACGTCAATGGGAAGCGTTAAGCGAACAATACAAAAAAAATCAAAACGAGTTTGTTACGAAAACGCAAATGAAACAATTTGAGTGGACAGAAAACAAAGAGTGAAATATCTTTAGTATATCACGAGTCGGGAAAATCTGACATTTGGCTCGTTCTGCACAAGGGTGTTGACGAATCTGTAATCCCACAGGCTATAACAGCTATAAACTTAGGTTAAAAATTATTTTTCCCGTCGATTATTAATGGATTAACAGGATTATTTCAATTTACTAGGCGCACTTCAAGAACAACAGTGAACCATTGTTAAAATTGAGTGAACACGATAGCCGATAGACTTTACTATGAGATATGTGTTACACAGTACATTGGGAGATTTTCAAATGGATAAGGCATTCATTATAAACTTTCTAAGATATTTATCTCTTTGTTATCACTTATTTTATAAATCATTTGGGGGAGGTGATCGCCTCACAAAATGCATATTACAGACAGTTTGTGTATTTAGGTTTCTCTTTTCCAGGTGAGGTTATTGAATTTAAAAAAAACTAACGAATAGACAAGAAAACCTCAATCTTGTTATTTTAGATCTGTACACTCGGTACTTAAGAGTTTTATGAAGATCTGATGATCATTAGTAATGTGAAACTTGAGTTCAACTGGGTCGGTTGTGAGATAATAACTCAACGAAGACAACGGTGTATGGTTGAGCAATTTCCTGGATCAGTAGAAGTTAGTTATTAACATTGTTGTATGCCGGTTAGCTCAGTGTTCTAGTGGTTAAGCGCTCGCGTGCGAGACTAATACGTCCTGGGTTCGAATCCCGCGAGGTGGGATCATGGGTGTGCACTGCCGAGGAGCCTCACAATAAGACGAAACGGCCGTCCAGTGCTTCCAGGTTTTCCATGGTGGTCTATCTTCAATTGACTCATGAACTCAACCATTAAATTACTATATTATTCACAAAACACATATCTGTTTATAAAAATAATTAATTACTCGACTAAAAAATAATCACTCTGTACTTAGTTTCCACCTTCTATTTAATACAAAAAGTGACGATGCAGAAAAAGAAAATAAATAATTTGTCATCAAAACCAACCAACCAAACAAACACTTCAGTAGACTGAAAATAATCAATTATTAATCAAATTTAATGTTAATTTCCTTTTTCTTTCTACAAACTTCATTTTTGCATTATTCAATAACGGTTGATTGTTGTTGTGTCCCATCCTAATCTCTTCAAAAATTCATATCACTACCCCGTTCCTTTATATTGCTTTGTATTTGAGCACACTTATATAAAAAGAGCAATTTATAAAGATTTATTGACCGTTTCTCCGATCTATTCATTGTAATACATTATAATAATTAATTGAATTACAAATATTGATAATTTAGTAATTAAGTCACCCGGATTAAAGAGGGAAACACTACTAAATATATGTGTATGTTCTGTACAAATGGATTAGTTTACTCATATTCTTTTAATTAAGTAATCAATCGGTTGATTAATAGAAGTATGAGCAACATCACTACTTCACTTACGCTTCAATTTATTCAGAAAATACTAACAATAAGAGAGTCCTATAGCGTTGCTTTTTTTTCTAGTCCAAAAGTTATTCGAGTGGACAGATTATTTTATCATTTAAAGAAAGATGAATATCAGCTTTTAAAAGTAGGTATTGAAGTGAGAGTGTGTAAACTACTCTTTGTTGTTTAGGTAATATGCCTGTAAAACATGATTTTTTCTAAAAATGTAATTAGTTGTAGTGCTTATAAAAGGCGGTAATTTCAAAAAGCTAATCGACTGATTTCGATATGTGAGGGTGTACTGTAATAAATCAGTTGATATTATCTCTCATTATCAAACTGTAACATTTGTATATCACAGTTAAGGAAAATAACAAGATGTTACATTGAAGGTGATCTCTGTCAAATTTTTATATCATTTGGAGTTCCGTTTAAAACCAGGGACAAGTAAACATCTGTACCGTCTTAGTTTGGAGTAATGAAGACTGAATAAATCATCTAATTTTCAATTTTAATCGATTCTCCATGTAACGCGATGAAAGATATCTTCTGTTTCAAAACAGATACCGTTGAACTCCACCATTAACGACTTTGCACTGTAAGCCTAGAAACCATCTCTTATCAGATCACTTGTGAGCACGCGATTATATTTTGATTTGGCCTTGCTTAGTCCCAAGTGAGACGTTTGTCATGAATGATATTATTTGGTCATCGAGATAAGTCGAAAATTTATTGAAGCTTAAGATTGTGGATGACTGAAATCCTACAAGTAATCTTGTGATTAAGCTCTAGTAATGAAACCTGGAAGCCCTTAGTTGAACTCCATACCGAATATTTTGTTTTCAATGATACCTGAGATTATGCTAATTCAAGGGAAAAACAGCTTACCAACTGAGTGGATATCTGTAAATTCTTTCAAGCAAAATATTAATGACATAATATTTGATTTGCTGATTATAAAATGAAACAATTAGTTAAACATGATATAAAACTAACTTGCTTATGTATCTTCACTTTTAGGGAGATACTTACCCCTATTTTATACCGAATTAGGATCATTGGTAGATGCTGGTCTGTTGATAAGTACCAAATACATCAATCTACTTACTGCATGTTATGTAAATGGGACTAAACACTCAACCAAGGGTGATTTGATATTACGCAAGAAATTCACGTTTGATATTTATAATTTAGATGAAAATCAATTGACGTGGAAAAAAACCCATATTGTGTAAGCTGAAATATTTAAAAAAGATACAATAATCTTAACTTTTGACATGAACTGTATTTCGTATGTACCATAAGAAATTTGGCGAAATACCGGTCGTTTAATACATATAATTGCTTACTTAAACCAGAAAAGATAATAATCTTCATGGATTGAATTCACATTTTAAATGTAGATTAAATAATCGATACGATCTGAGTCATTAACTGCTAACTATGCAAGGCTTATAAAACTGGTTGAAGTTGGACATTAACACAGTTGGATGCCACCCATCTCAGTGGTCTGGAGGTAAGGCGTTCGCTCACGAGGTCAAAAGTCAGGGGTCTGAGTCCTGTATGCGAGCTCGTGGGTGCGCACTGCTGAGGAGTCCTATACTACGATGAAACAGCCATCTAGTTCTTTCAGGTTTTCCATCGTGGTATAGATTAGCTCAACTCATGAATTCAACCAATAGAATATTTGGTTCGTAAGCTAAATAGTATTGAGTGGAATACAGAATTGATATGTTCTCGTTATGGTATCAATATTTTAATATGTATTTGAGATAACGTAAGATGTCGTTTGTTGAAAAACAATAACTTATGTTCATTGATAAAGGTATTCTCAAACTGATTTGAAACATGTTTTTAAATAATAACGATGAAAAATCTTCATCAAAGTAACACTGATCAGGATAATTATAGTATCGTTCACAATCTTTATGGTTGAAATTCATTAATTCATGACTAGATTTCTCTGAAATAATGACTAGTTTAGTGAACCCGTAGCTAATTAGTCAATAGTATATTATAAGAAACCAGACTATAATAATTATAATAGTCAACATATCATAAATCACAAAAAATAACTGGTTTATTTAATCATACTCTTGATTCTATTTTTGAAATGAAATCATTTCATCTAATTGATTGCATTGTACTTTTATCGATACAATTGGAACAGTTTTAAAAAACGAATCAGTACTACTTAATTATAGACCAATCATTATATGTTTCAATTACCAATGATTGATTGATTTTTTGTTATTATTAAAATATTCTTTATTCTTAGGGGAAAGAAGAACTTTCATTGTGAAGCTATTACCATTTTAACCGTAGATGATAATTTCACTGTAAGTTAAAAGATAATTTGTAATAATTTAAAACGTAAATTTTATTTAATAATTGAATTCATGAGTCGATTGAAGCTAGACTACCGTAGAAAACCTGGAAGCATTGGACAGCCATCTCGTCTTATTGTGGGACTCCTCAACAGTGCGCATCCACGAACCTGCCCCGCAAGATTCGAACCCACGACTTGTCGATCTCGCGCGTGAACTCTTAACCTCTAGACCACTGAGCCGGTCGGGATCCAACAGTGTTAATGTCTAACTTCAACTGATTCGCGAAAAGGCTCCACCGTCCACCATTGTCTTCAGTGAGTTATTATCCCACAACTAACTCAGTTGAACTCCACTGGTCACGGCTTCTCATTAGAACTCCAGGAAATGCTTCTTGGAGACCGTCAGTAGTGAGCATATAATTGACTCACGAATTCAATTATTAAATTACTACAACCTCCAAAGCCCCTCTATGATTGCAAAAAATAAGATTCAATGATGGGTTTTTTTTGGTTATTGAATTTATCGTTCATATTCAACTTCCTTGATATTTCTGAACAACAATATTCACGTCACATTTGATGGGCTTTTTTTCATTTTATACAACATATTATTAATACTGTCAGATAACTGTTTTAGGTGACTCCAAAAAGAAAAAAAATCTTACTTTTCTCGTTGTTTCTCTCTTTTTCAAAACATTATCTACCATTTTTTTCTTGGAAAAAATTTCTGTCTAAAAAATAGTAGGCTACGTCTAAACAGAATTCATCATACGCCTGAAATATTGTTTTTATCAATTTCCCTTTTTTTGTCTCTTTTCTGTTGGACAGTAGAAGTAAGTAGTACACTGACTTGTTATGTCTCTCTTTCTTCAGTACACTTGTTTCAGTTTTGATAAACTCAATATTGAATTTTGGCATCAAATAGGAAACTGTATTCATTTATTATCTTTGTTTTTCTATAACATACAAGTAGGATAAGAATTTGTTTACAATGAGAAATTCACTTTACCTGTGACTTATTTTGTGGATCACATTTATCGCATTTTTTGTGTTCATTTTGACTGACTCTTCATCCGTAACCAATATTATCTTTATCTTTGCATAAGCACTGATCACATTCTGTTAATCTAGTTAAAGTTAGAGTGATAGTTTATGTGACTCTATATGAGAGTATATTTAGTTTGATGCATAGAAGTATCAGTCTTCTGGGGAGGAAAAATACCATAACTGGCAACTGTTAACATAGGTGAAACCTAAGTCCATGGATTTGTGTCAACTATCTCCAATTATTTAGTAAGATTGCGTTTACTTTTTTGTTAAGTGATATTCTTTTTTCTAAAAAAATTTAGATTGTTGTCTGTTTAGTCTCATCGAAGAATTTGCTCATTTATCCCCTGGATCATCAACAAAATTGCCTACATCACCAACAGTCGGCTAAACATAATATCGAAATACATCAATCAAACAAGTGGTTGACCGTGATCTAGATCAGTTTTGTCAAAGTTCTATTCAAATTAGTTTACCTGACCCATATGTTATAAATCTAAACACAGGAACCGTTAGTTTATTCCCAGAAGTCAATGAACAATGGGTAGACAACGTTGAATTCTACCATCAACTATGTTTGACTTCTTGTTCAACAAAATCAACTATTCAGGAAGTTGAAAATGACAGTCATGTGAATCATGAAGAAAGAAAGAAAAATTAAATAGAAGACAAGGCATTTATCAACTTTGGATACGAGGTAGTTAAAAAGAGGTTAAATTATGATAAAATTTATATGAGTTATAAACAGTTGGTGTATTTATTTCCAGTCTTGATGGATATAGATATGGATAAAAATATGGATATAAATATGATTTAAGTCCGGCTAAGTTAAAGCTATCTTGGGTGATTCAACTGAGATCTTATATAATCTAGAAACAGCTTCAAAGTTATTTCTATCAACTAAAGAATCGTCGAAAGTCATTAAAAAAATTTTTCCCTCGCTCAATACTCTTATACTCCTTTATACCATGTGCTCACTAGTGACTAGCTTCGTGAGAAAATTCTCGGAGTTCTGGTGAGAAGCCGTGACCAGTGGAGCTAATCCGTGTCGGTTAGAGGCAGGTATACACCTCAGTACAATGGAAGATGGTCGCTCGATTTTGTGGATTGCTTGAGGTTAGACAATAACACCGTTGGGATGCCGTTTCTGTGGTCTAGAGGTTAAGCGTTCGCGCGCGGGACTGAAGGCCCTGAGTTTGAATCCCGTGAGCGGGATCGTGAATGGGGACTGCTGAGGAGTCCCACAATAGGACAAGACGGCCAATCAGTGCTTCCAGGTTTTCAATGGTGGTCTAACATCAATCAGTTAACGACCTAAATCAAGAACTTTTTACATTTGTCTGAAATACTATTTCGTACTATGTGACATCGGCATATGACGTCAGTTTCCAATCAAAACGATACTTGAGTGACAAGAAATTCTTCAGGCTTGAATTTCCTTCTGACCGATAACTTTTAAAAGTCAAGCTAACATTTAACAGTATATAACATAATACTTGAAAAGAAAATATATTCTTATCTAGGAATATTTGTATTCAAGAGGCATTGTTTACAAAATTGAAGATAAGTTGAAATGGGTGGATTCTACATATTTATCTGGTAGATTAGATTACATTAGTTATTGTTAGTTATTTTAAATTTCACAACTTTTAATTGTTATTTTAGTTATTAAATAGATTGTTTTTTGAATAAACATTAAACTAGTCATATGAAATCAGTTGAGTTTAAAGGTAGATAGCCCAACGTAAACTGATAAAATAACTTAGTAAATAAAATTATGTAAAAGCTCCATGTTCAAACCATCCGGCTCACAGAACGAAATTCATTTGAGGTACAAATCTTTTCCACCATCACAAGATTCTTTAATACGATCTATAGTCTGCTTATAATAAAAGTCTTTCTAGAATAGATTTATTTATCTTATTGATAAATATCAGTTGAACAAGACCATCTTTCACAACACATTCCTTTGAATAAAGTTTGAGTGGCTGACTTTATCTCTACGATTTACTTATGTACAATTACGTTTACATATATGAATGTTATCTCAGAATGATTTTGTTATTTTTCTCAACATAACTGACTTCGTGGGGTTCAATGCTTGATTAGGTCTTATTTCTCCCACTAAATTCATTACTTTTAAAGCTTTAGTAATTATAAACATAGTCTAGAATAGTTCTTTTGTATCACTTGTTTGAATCTTCTGGTTAATGTTTAGGACTGTAATTGACCAGTTTTTTGGAAAACGTACATCCTGTGCAAATCGCTTTGATGTTGTCACTAATTCACAAGAACTGACAAGTTCAAGTAGGACGAAACGCGAGTTGTGGATTCCACTGCTAGTAACTATCCACCTCTGGTTATAATACAGTCCAGAATGGATTATTTTATTTGAAAGATCTGCTGATGAAAACGTGAAGTTACTTAGTGATATAGATAATAGATTTTAGACTATTGAATTACATGTCTAAACACCTTTTTACTTACTTCAGCAACTACTTTTCCACTGCTAGCCATTATCCATCTTTGCTTAAAAAATATTTCGTTTTGTTTTCTGCGTTTAGTTTGGTTTACGATGATAGCTTAGTATTATTAAGCAAGCATATGTTAGTATCTAAACTAGGAATCGTGTATATTATTATTTTATATAGAGAATGAAGCTAAGGCTTAGTATTTGATACACTCGATTTTAAAGCAACTGCTTGAGAAGTGAAAATCTTGGTCTTCATAGATATGTTTGAGCATACAGGTAGTATGGTAAGGTTGGGTCAAAATTGTCATAGCAAAATGATTTATCTTGCTCACTAATTATTCACACTCAATCATACACTTAACTGGAATGATGTAGCTATCTAGCTTAAGATTAGGATATTATGAGGTATACTTTCAAAAAGTTATGTTTATAAAGTATTGGGTCATATTTTTGATGTACAGCACAAACTTTAATGAAGTATTTCACTTACTTGATTGAACTTTTATTGTTGTCACTATTTTTTATAACAATATTTTATTTAACTTTTATCCATAAAGGAACTAAAATTGAGCAAGAGAACGAGGATAAAATTCAATCTAAACTATTTCGTGTTGACTTAGAGTAAGTAGACTTCGTATAATATATATATATATAATCTACTCATCAACTACTAGTATTATGTTGTTTATTCTTAAATTGTAAATGATTTCTTATTACTAAAGTTGCCATGCAGCTACTAGTCTAAATGATGCTGTATGATAGTTCATTATGTATTGTCGTCGGTTGTTGATGGGGATCACCAAGAGATTCTCAATTTAGGTTTCTTGTTAGTTGGTAATCTAAGTGGAGTTAAGACTTATAGTCAATCTTATTATTAATAGTGACTAAATTATAGATGATGTTTAAAAGAAATACCTTATAATTAAAATTCTAAATCATTTTGTATTCACTTGATTAGCCCATATTTTACTCTTGATTCTATCCTTATTTGTACTGGGCAGTTTAAACTGTATAAACTCATTTGGTTTAAGTGTTTGTGAGTTGTCAACATAAAATCTAACACGAATATGGATTAATACAATTTGTTAAATGTCATTTCAACAAAGTGTGAAGGAAGGAAGTGAGAATATTTTTAACTGTAGTAAAGACCTGTAAATCGGAAATCGAGGAATGAAAGTTTAAAAATGTTTTTCAACATAAAGTTTGGAGGAAAACATAAAACTAATGTAATTGTACCATTGAGATCGTTTGTACACTATATTCCAAAGGGTTTCCAACCATGGGTTATAACTACTATGTGAGCGCCTAGCAGAATATTTCCATCACTCAACACAACTCAAACTAACAGTCTATAATTTAATGAACCAATACCTTGTATTAAATCCCCTTTTCATTTTTCAACCAAATAAATTTTTAGGAGGCTTAATAAAAATGAGTTTATTGGCTATGACAATAATCACTATAGCTGTTTTTATGTTCTTTTGCTTTCTTCATCTTTTATTTCACTGTATAACTTTACTTATTCCTATGAAAAATATCTATATTCATTTAGCCGCATACTCATCATGTATGTGTGCCAGTTTGTAATTCCTTTAAATTTTCTCAACTAAATAAATTTCTATCAAAATACCGAATGGCTTTAGGTGTTTCTTTATTTTTTTTTGTTTTGTAAATGTGAAAAGTGACTAGTGTTTTTGGTCAAAAAGATTTTTAAAAAAAAGAGAGAAATGGGCACACCTTATTGAATTTCATTGATTCTTGTTTATAAAAATAGAGCATGTCAAAGCGTAGTCTTTGATCATGTCATGAAACATTCTCCTTTGATCACCTTTTTTTGGATTTATTTTTATTACTAAAGAACATTTCCGGACTGAAAATATTTAAAAAGATCATGTTTCTAGTATAACAATAATAATAATATTATTAGCAGTAGTAGTAGTAAATATTGATTTTTGTAGTTTGACAACTTTTTGTATTTTCGATTTTTTCCGAATTTGTCCTACTTTCCTCTTTTTTTGAAAAAAGCTGAAAAAAAAGGGGAAAAATGTTAATTTTATATGTAAACTATTTTAAAGTTTGTTAGTGTTACATCATTTTGATAGAATCATTTATTGTAGTGTATGAGAAAGATATTGAAATTTATTGAATCTACTGAAATGTAAATGGAAGAGTTTATATGTACTCATTTACTATGAACAGGTTCATGTAGTTCACTTGGAATCATATATTATTGGTGTTATAACTAATGATTTTACTTCATTTGCTTGAATCATAGTTGGTGGAAATTAGTGGTCAAATCTGTAAGTTGGTAATTGAAACTGAAAATTACTTATTCACTTCTTATTCATTGTTGATATTAAGAAAATCTTCTCCTGTTCTATTCGTAAGCTGAATTTCATTAACTCACTGATTACACAATAAATAAACAAGTCATAGTGATACTATATTATCCTGAAAAGTTTTCTTTTTAATTAAAGTATCTTTATTCAATATGTATGCTTAAATATATATTATTTAAACAGTTTGATCTAATGAGAATCCACCGATTACAGTTCTATAACTTATAAAAATATATTTACTGATCAAGTACAGTCTTAAACATCAATTGGGAAGATTCAAACAAACAGTACTAAGTGAATTTAAACTTCATCTTATTACACAAGCAAGTGGCTATCAGGACTGGGTGGATGACGCGATGACGTTTGAGGCGAACAGTAGTGAGTTCGAGTCCTGGGGTGAACATTAATTCTGAGGTGCAGGTATATCCAACTGACGAGTCCTAACGCGTGTCCTGAATTACACTGCTAGCCACTATCCTTCTTTGCTCATATATTTCTGTTTTGTGTTTCCTGGTTTTCAGTGTTACCTCAAATAACACTAATCTGTTACATAAACCATACACAAACTAGACAACTCTCCACAAACCCTTCCAACTAAGCTATAGTAGTCAACTGACCAGTGACTAACCCCTGGATGTTCCTGGAGTTCTTTCGTGAATTCATGAGTGATGGAGCTCAAATATGTCAGGTGTAACATGCATCCCACCACTGGCATCTAATGACTGACACTTTATTTCACCAAATGATGTAGGTATCAAAATTAAAACAAACTAATTGGTCAATGCTTTTTTATCTTATCAACCAAAAGAGTATGAATTATTGATCAGTTTACAAAAAAATGATTAAGCTGGATTACCATTGAAAATAAGAGGGGCTGAACGGCCGTTCGGTTCTAATATAGCACTCAACAGTAGTGTGCATCCACGATCCCGCACGTGGGAGTCGAGCTTAGGATCTTCGGTCTCGCACTCAGACACTTCATCTCTGGACCATTGAGCCGGTATCCAACGATGTTAATGTCTAACTTCAGTCAATCCATGATTTTGTGTAACCCTTCATTGCCTCATCACATTTTACAATCAACACGGCTCAACTCCACTGGTCATGGTTTCTCACTCGAACCCCGGGGGTTACATCTCGAGGTTAGTCAATGGTGAAGATATAATTGTTTGATTGGATGCGTACTGCTGAGAACTCCAATACTAGGACGAAACGGTTGTCAAGTGCTTCCATGTTTCCAGTAATACTATAATCTCCACAAATCCTCCATACTAAATAAATGACTAATCAGAAGTGAAAATAAAGGTTTGTAAAGTGAATCGGTAGATATTCAGTTTTGTTCATCATCGAAATACGATTCATACGTTAAGTACACTGTTTAATAGTATAGATATCTGATGAACCACAATTTATCCGCGTAAACACAGATAATACGTGATACGCATTAAAGTTCTTATAATTCAAGTACATTTACTCAACAATGAAACTGTTGTTAACTCGTCAAATAATCTGTGATGCCGAAAACGATTTGTTTCTCTGAACGATAATATTAGTGAATTTCTGTTCTTTTAGCTTAGTGGTTTAAATGTTAAAACTCTGATTTCCTACCTCGATAACAACATCAGCATAAATTTTAGATAGAAGTGAGCTATTCAGATTTCTCTGTGTATGACTAATAGCTTTTTTGTCAACGTTGAATCTAGTTGATGATTATTGACCAATCATTACGTGTATATTTTTTTAAAATTTTCTGGTCCGCTGACATGATTCTTGACTTAAGGTTTTTATTACTGCTTTAATAGGTTGCTGAATCGGAGGTCTGCACTTAAGAAGTTATTTAGAAAGGCAATGAAAGCTTCACAATCATTGCACTTGGCTTAAAGTAATGAACTTCATCATAATCATACGTGTTAACAGTGCCATTTTGTCAGTGTTATTAGTACAGCTTGCAAATTTAAATATGAAATTCCCCAAAACATTTTAGGTCGTTTCATATCTGACCTTTTCTCTGATCATTTATCGATGACTGTGTGTTATGTGAAATGTAGTGAATAATGAAATTCAGCTCGCGTGTCATAATTTACCCCATTCTTTACTAAAGCTGTTCCGTACATTTTTGAGTATCGCTAAACATGTAACACTCGTGATATCAACTACACTTTAGTTAGTATTTCGAAAAAAACTACTTTGTGGCTGTGAAACTTCTTATACTTTGCAATTTCAAGTGGAAAGACACTTATGAAAATTTGTCAATTACATTAGTGGATTATCTTAATTTGATTGCGTAATAGCGAGCTCTTTTGTAGATTAAACATTCAATGATATTTAGGTAAAATAATAAAGTTATAATTTGGTAGTAATTTTATAATTGAGAAATATTCGTGTCGTTTAAGTTTTTTGTATCAGAGTGTAGATACGTAAAACTTTGAAGTAATTTAGCTGTTCATATCATAAGGTATGATAAATACTAAGGCATATGACTTATCTATGGGCGATTGGATCTTTGGTTATCCCTTATGTTAGCAAGGTGTTCAAATATAATTAGAAAATCCCTGAACTATGATACTTACTCTTTATAGAATTGAACAGCTTAGGAATATGTAATTCAACCTGACACGTTTATGTGCGATTATGAATTTAATTCATTTTATCTTCAAGTGTTTTTTGACGTTCATCTTCAGGATGTCGCAGTATCTAGTCACCTCTTTTGATAGACAGGGATAAATAATTACGAGAAAATATCATTTTTCATTCGGATACGCAGGACGTTTGTCAGTATAATACATTGTAGTCAACATAATTCTTAGTAATATAAAATGTTTTGGTAAAAATATAAATCAAAAGCATTCCTATCAACATTGAAAAAAGACTAATCTAAAATAGGAAAGAATGTAAGCAATATTGCTCTGTGAATGATTAAAGCTTTGAATCGATGAAACTATAATTTATGGACGACCTTTGAGCGTCGCTGAAGTGACCTTGAAGGTGGACACCTACCAATTAGGACAAAATGCGAGTTATAAAGCAGTTAGAATTCTCATTTACAGTTAATGGTTAGGGTTAAAATTTACATTTTGAGTTTTCATCACGAAATAACATCAGCTGTACTGCCAAAACTCTATTTAGCCAGATGTATGGATAAATTTCGCGCCAAAATTCGTGACTCGTTATCTTATATCTGATTGGTTCGTCCATAAATTATAGTCTTGCATTTGACTCTAACTGTTACAAAACAGAAGATATAATTATAGGTATCAATGCCAAGGTTGAACTTGATGGTTTGAAATAAACTGAGCATTGTTTAAAGAGTTTTTATATATATATATATATATATATATATATATATATATATATATATATATATATAGTATTTTTACTATTTAAACTCGTCTTAATTTAATTCGGCTAATTGTTCACTTTGAAGAGGCGGCATATATTAAGTCACGAAACGTCAAAAATGCGATTTTTCTACTGATTGGGATATTACAAAAATTGTATTTATTATTAGAAGTTATAATTGATTTTCTGTATTCTTTATTAAATAAAATTTATCACAAAGTAGATTCTTTGACATCCCCAGTATTCACATAGTTAAATTGTTAAAAATTAGATGGGGTTTATTGAATAAACTGTGGCTGATACGAGACATTTACTTTTTGATATTATTTGCTGTAAATACTGAGTTGAATATCCCAGTTTTCCCGGTAATAAAACCTGTTATGTAAGGATAGAGATTAAGACCTGCCATAGCATTTCAAATGGTTTTCAGTTGATATCAGTATCAATAGCTTTGTAGTAGGTTTGTATTTGATTTAAAGAACTTCATTGTATATGCGTACACAGTTTATGTCGTGAGTGAACCATTTAAAAAAATTAATATATGTGAAAACGTCACGACTATATTTTTTTAAAACTTCTTATATATGACGATAATCTGTCGCTTAATATCACGACACAATTACTTTATGTTTATGACTTTAATTTGACTGATGACAGCAGTCTTCATGAAATTTTAGTATTTCTTACAATAGATGGATTGTGTCAAGGAATAACGGGATTATTGAAAACCCTCACAAATAATAACATAAATTTTACACCAGCTAAAATCGAAAGTGATTGTCTGGAATTAGATGCTCAGTGAATACACATTATTGTGTGAAACTAAGGTTACTGGTTCCGAGTTCCATAATGAACATCTACATGAATGTAAGTGCTCTCAAATAAGACTAAACATACGTTCCGAACTAACTTTCCAACCACACTCTATCCATTGTAAAAAACGTGCTACGAAAGTTCTTATATCTTATTATTCCACCCAAGATTTCTATATAACATTAAAGAACGATAGAAATTCAGTCCTAAATATCGACAAGAGGAAATTAAAGCACTAAAAATTCATTTGTATGGGTTGTTTACCCCGTCTCATAAGCCAGTGGCTATCTGGACTCAGTGGCTACGTAGATAACGCGATGGCGTTTGAAGCGAACGGAAATGGGTTCGGGCCCCGAAGTGGATGTCAACTCTGGTATGGAGGTATGTTCGACTGGTGAGTTCCAAATAGGGCGAAACTTGCATCGTGGATTGCACTACTAGCCACTATACAGCTACGCCTATAATCCTTACCAATAATTCCAATGTAAGGTGCAGCGTTATTGTTGGTTAAACTAATCATTATAGCAAAAATACAATGATTATCCTACTAATGTTAAATGTAAGGAATTTCCTTTCAATAGGAGTGATATCCTAGCTATGATACATAAGACTAACATTTTTACGTTTTAAAGCAATTTTTATTATTACTAATTTAGGATAGATTACATCCGGATTGGAATGAATGTTTACAAAACCAAAGTATCGACGGAAAGCCCACAATGAACAAATAGTACGGAACAAATGGTCAGCAAAGAATTTAATTATTATTATTAGCAAAATTACACAAGCTATTTAATACAAAAATAATACACTAACGGAAGTAAGATATGGGTTTCATGCGAATTAAAATTCGACTGTTATACCTACTTATTGAAAGCCGAATCAGTTTAAGATTTATTTAGAGTATTCACTCATACACTTTTCGATGGCATTCATCATAAATAATTAGTTATTTCATTGGATAGCTTAATGTTTAACTCAATTCTAATTTCAAGAATGGTTACCTAATTGCTTTATTTCTACTGTATTTTCATTCTAAAGATTTAAACCACTTGAAATTAGGACTGATTCGTTGGAATTGAATAATGAAGAGAATTATAATGAGATGTATTCTGAACCACTTCAAAGTTATTCAAATAAATTATTAATCAAAAGGTAAAATGAACATAACAATCACAAAGCTTATAAGATGAATAATATAATCATTTATATCAGTAAACTTAATGTAATAATATTTTTTAAACATAAAATGCATTATAATCAGCGAGGGATTCCGTGGATAGAAATGGTAATAATTTAGTAGTTGAATTCACGAGTTATTTGAAGCTAGACCAATATGCAGAACTTGGAAACACTGGACGGCCGTTTCATCCTAGTATGGGACTCCTCAGCAGCGTGCATCCACGATCCTGCCTCATGAGATTCGAACTCAAGACTTATCGATCTCGCGAACGCTCAACCTCTAGACCACTGAGCTGGCCGGCATCCAATTGTGTTAATGTCTAACCTCAACCAATCCACGAAATCGCGCCACCATCCACCACTGTCTTCAGTGAGTTATTATCTCACAACAGACCTGGTTGTACTCTCTTGGTCACGGCTTATCACTAGAACTCCAGGAAATAATTCTGGAAGACCGTCACTAGTGAACATATGATGATTATAATCAGAGAGTGGTTTTGTGGATATTGTAGTAATTTAGTAGTTGAATCACAGTGATAAATTTTGATGTAATTTAATGTGAAGAAAATTCAAAGGTTAGTTTCCAATTTTTGTTAATTGATAATAATGAAATGGAAGCAGAAATACTGTAATCAAGTTTGTGAATAAACTTGAAGTCAACATTTTTCCATTTAAAATATTTAAACAGTAAAACGGCAATTGAATATAAATAAAAAAATATCATTTTAAAGAGATCAAACAGAAAGTATCATGAAGCACTAAAGAAACATCAAAGAAATGAAAAGTCAAATAATAAGTAGTCTAGGACCTGGGAGAGATATGTATTGGTTCAGGTCATACACTGCACATTCATACATTTAAAAGAAATTGACATGATGAAAAGCGAAGCAGTAGAAATGGTAGTAGCAGTAGAAATCATGGTGAAAGTTTACCATTTAGAAATAACTTTCAGAAGAACCTATGAAATCAAAGTATGAAAAACATGAAGTAACAGTAATTTCAAAAGTCATGAGAAGATTTTTTGCAATTGATTAATCACTTGGCGATGATCAATGTCGTGTATGTAAGGTCCTTCTTAATGCAGATCGGATCCTAACGACCAAGTTACAATTTGGCTACAAGTCTCGGTAACTCGACATTGCGTGCACTATGTTGAGATAAGATCGCGGTTGGAGGTGGTCAACAGGAAACCCTGGACCTAGATTTCTACAAAGTGTACCTATAATCTTAAGGGAACTGATGTTCCCCGACGGCTTCGATCCCGTGTCACCCAGAGACGTTACCACTGAGCTTTCCGGATCTACAGGAGGTCAGTCGCGGCCTTGCTGACGAGTGCCAAATAGCACGAAACTTAGGTCCAGGGTTTCCTGGTTCTATGTAACGACTAATTTTGGGTGACGGCATTCAACATTTGCGGCTATAAGATACTATTATCTTTGTGGATTAGATACAGACAATGAGAATCTGCTTGCAATTTGTAATTTTACGCTCAATCACTTTATCTATTGATGGATGTTTTTCAACTATCATTTTATTATCCAGCAAAGCAGTGATTATGTTAAAACTTCTGTCCGATCATCTCCATTTAACATACTTACTCGGCCCTAATCGAAATCGGTGAGGCAGATTTCGAGGTTACATCTCGATTGACGATGTCCAGTCACAATAATCTCTTAACCATCTTAACCTAAATAAAAAAAGTCTGGTCACACCACCACCTACTTGATTGTCTCGTCACTAAAAAGAAATGCTTCAAAAGAATCTATAAATCATTGCAAATAATCAAAACATCTGTTTGAACTATAAAGAATACCGTTTAAAGATCCCCGTCATATTAAAAGACTAATATTTGAACGAAGAATATTCGTTTCGATAAATTCTCATCAGGTTCTACAGTTATATATCCAAATTAATAATCCGAAAAAATGGCCAAGTTAAGGGTAAAATACATCGTCTAGAGCATGTGAATTTAGGATTGTGATAAACAAAATACAATAAAATTTTGTATTTATCAGTTTGACTGCTCCTGTGGAGCGAGTTACATTGGTCGAAGTTCCAGGAATTTACATTTTCGTGCTCGTGAACACCTTCCAGCGTGGCTAAATAAAGGTTTGATGAAGAAGGTGAACAGCTCAATATTGGCCCATTTAGTACAAACCGGTCATAGTGCCATTATAAACCAATCTTTTTCAATTATTTATAAGGTCAGTAATTTTTTGCCAAGATTGGTCAGACTGAAAGTCCTTCAAACGGCTGAAGCAATAGCCATCCGGATGAAGAAACCGGAGCTTTGCGTACACAAGAAATATATTCAACCACTCCTCCTCCCCTGGCCAACATCAAGGCCAATTAATCAATCGTAATCTTAAGTATTGAATGAACTAATTTGACTATGACCTTTAGTAGTCAATTGTAATTGTCCCTGTTATCTTTATTCATAAATCTTTGTATTATTATTATTATTATTATTATTATTATTATTATTATTGTTATTGGTTAAACATCATTATTAATCTTTCCTATACATGATTCATTCACTTCGCATTCATTCCTCCGTATTACGTCTTACTTATTTGATCGGATTGTAATTGCACTATTATTTCTGTCTCACCCTATTTGACCCATATTTATTCCGATCATGGATCTTAAAATTTTACTTAACATATAAGCTGATTCAAGTTTACATTCTATATGAGTCATATTAACATTAACAATTTTATTGTATTTTGTTTATCACAATCCTAAATTCACATGCTCTAGACGATGTATTTTACCCTTAACCTGGCCATTTTTTCGGATTATTAATTTGGATATGTAACTGTAGAACCTGATGAGAATTTATCGAAACGAATATTCTTCGTTCAAATACTAGTCTTTTAATATAAAGGATACGCTTAAAAGACGTAATACTTAACAAAATAATATATTATGTAGTTTTTTACATGTAGATGACATTTCATCCGCCTCGAAGGTTGTACTATTTGAGGAAAGTTATGGGAGTTTTTTGCATATCTCCAAATATAAGCCCACGTAGGATGATAAAGCTTCATGCATAACTAGTCAACGACCCGAAATAAGTACATATTTGTAGTCGAATCGGGCATTGACTCATAATATTCTTGAAGTACTAATTCGCAGTCTAAGAGCGAGAGAAATGTATCCCAACCTTTACTCCATTATTACACAAAGTATACAGAAGACTATGTTATAAAATGTTCTGACTATATCAATCCAATATATATATAGCCAGTTGTTCTAAAAACAAAATGACGTCATCAATTTCCATTATTTTATTACAATTTAGAAGTCGCAATGAAGAAGTCAGAAGATTATCGTTTCAAAAAGTCTGGGAACAATTTGCTGCTTTTTAAGAACTGTTACCATTGATATTATTGTTGGTATTAAGATTACAATTTAGTAATTTGATATCATTACAACCGGCTAATACAAAATAAGTATTATCCTTCTCAACAATCAAATATATTGGTAATTATTTTGTTTTAGAATCAAATGACGTGGTATATTGTACATGCAAACCCAACCCATTTAATTTTTTTATGATAATAATAATAATAGTTCAATAAATTGATCACCCATATAATACGCCCTTTTTTCAATCATTGGAATTAATCTTCAGGGATTGATAGATACGATTTTATATGTCCATTCACTGTAAAAATGAATTCTTACTACATGCTAATAATCGACATTTGTAGACTATTTGTGGTGAAGTTTAGTTCATTTCTATATACAGGTAATTTAAATAATCAGGTCATAACTACGATGATGTATCACATGCAGGGTTTTAGCTTATCTGGTACAATTTCTGTTCGGGATAATAACCTCATGTGAAATGATAAGTGTGTATAATATTGTTATTGTCTTTACATTAAATGCTATGTTAACTTTATACTAGCAACCATTTATAATAATGATTTAGGTTTGAAATGGTTGATGAAAAAAAAAGATCTTAGTAGGCTTTCGTCAAGTGCTCTCTACTTGAACACTGCTGATTGAGTCAGAGTGTACGAAGAACTGTCATCAGACTTTATAAAATCAAGTGGTTTTCTTTAGGACTGTGTACTTTCTCCGTTTTAATTTGATTTTATTACAGATATTCTTTCGGAAAGGAAGCGTTTATTCTTTGGCTTTCCAGAGATTGATTCATCAACAAGTGACTCATTTATCGACTTAGAATATGCTAGTGATATAGTTATTTTTGGTGAAGACTCCGACAGCATGCAACATTCTGTTCGTACTGAATAACGATACAAGTCTGTTTAAGATGAGTTTTATTTTCTTCCTATGTGTAAAACGGAAATGTCAGGAAACGTCTGAGTCAACGCCTAGATTTGCCACATGGAGTGATGTCTTTGCACTTGTCAATCATCTTGCTTATTGTTGACCTCTCATCAGATTTTGTGTATCGGTGTTCTATTAAATCTCGGCAGGAGTTCCTAAGGGTCTGCTAGCTTTTACCAACTTTCGTCACTTGTGGAGTTGGGAAGATGTCCTCCTGTCGATTAAAGAACGAGCCTACTTCACGGTCGTTCGTTTCATTCTACGTTATGTCTGTGAAACATGATTTTTAGAAATTGAGGATATCCGTAGTTTACAAGCACTTGATTGTAGATGTCCTCAATAGATTGCTCACTTTTGCTAGGACCATCAAGGGGACAATACTGAAATTGAACTCAGAGTACAAAGCAGAGATGGTAAATCATTTAACAAGATATTGAATCTGCACAGACTGAGGTGGTTGGGATGTGTATTAAGTTTACCAAAACACCGCCAATCTTAACCCGCTATATTTACTGATTTAGTTGTGAGAATGCTCGGCACGGTCAAAACGAGATAAGGTGTCGGTTTACGAAATCATCTT